TTCATTCCTGGCCAGTAGTACCCCATCGCGAGTAGACTGAGGGTTCTCTGCCAACCTGGATGTCCCGCCCACAGCGTATCATGGCATTCCTTCAACAACATTTTCCTCAATCCCCCTGCTTTGGGGATGAACAGCTTTGTACCTTTGGTGAAGATGAGGCCATCTTCCAACCAAAAGCGTCTAGTCTTCCCTTCTTCAATCATCCTTGTTATGGTTTTTGTCATCGGATCATCTGGGAGATAAGCACGAACTTGATCTCTAACGGATGTGGCAATGCTGCTTGCCGTCATTGGCGCTAACTTGTACATCGCAGCAAGATCGGCCCGCCTACTCAGGGCATCGGCAACTCTATTGCTGGATCCCGTTCTATAGGTGAACTCCACGTCGAACTCAGCTAAGTCCTCCTGCCACCGAGCTTGTTTTCCTGTCAGCTTGGGTTGGGTGAGAAAGTGACTCGCCGCGGTGTTGTCTGTGCGGACGGTAAACTTTGACCCCAACAAGTAGTGCCTCCATCCTCTTAGGCAGTGCACAATGGCTAGTAGCTCCTTTTCTTGTGCCGCATACCTTCTCTCCGCATTATTTAGCTTCCTACTTTCGAATGCAATAGGATGTCCTTCTTGGAGGAGCACTCCTCCTAAAGCAAAATCCGAAGCATCCGTCTCGACCACGAATGGTTTGGTGATGTCTGGAAGGGCAAGGACCGGCTCCTTCACCATTGCTTCTTTCAACTTCTGGAAAGCTTCCTTCTGGGGCCCTGACCATTCCCAACGACAATCTTTCCTCAATAGGTCGGTGAGGGGACTTGCGATCTCTGAGTATCCCTTAATGAATCTTCTATAATAGTTCGCCAGTCCTAGAAAGGATCGCAGCTCAGAGGGGTTCTTGGGATCCCGCCAATCGCGAACAGCACATATCTTCTTTGGGTCCATCCTCAATCGACCCTTCCCCACAAAGTGTCCAAGAAATCCGACTTCTTCCTGCGCAAAGGCACACTTTTCTCGTTTCACAAAAAGGTGATGTTCTCTCAGCTTCTCGAAGACCAATCTTAGGTGCTCGAGGTGCTCCTCCAAAGTCTTGCTGTAGACAACGATGTCATCGAGGTACACGACCACAAACTTGTCTAAGTACTCTCGAAATACTTGGTTCATCAGAGTACAGAACGTAGCAGGTGCATTCGTCAAGCCGAAGGGCATGACTAGCCATTCGTATGCCCCGTATCTCGTCAAACAAGCAGTTTTTGGTTCATCTCCTTCGGCGATACGAACTTGGTGATAGCCAGACTTCAAGTCTAGCTTTGTAAAGTACACCGCATCCCCTAACTGATCGAACAAATCCGCCACCAAAGGGATAGGGTAGTGATTGCGCACCGTAACCTTATTTAATGCTCGGTAGTCGATACACAATCGAAGACTTCCATCTTGTTTTTTCTGAAAAAGCACAGGAGCCCCATAAGGAGCCTTTGATGGGCGGATGAAGCCTGCCTCAAGCAAGTCCTCCAATTGTTTCCGGAGTTCAGCCAATTCTGGGGGGGCCATGCGATAAGGGCTTCGTGCTGGGGGTTTCGCCCCTGGAACCAGCTCAATCTCATGGTCCACTGTCCTTCTAGGTGGGAGAACTTTTGGTAGGTCTTTCGGGAGGAGATCCTGGAACTCTAATAGTAGCTCGGCAACTGCAGGCGGAAAGTCTCCACTTGCTTCATTTTCCTTCGTGGAAAGTGTTGCTAGGAACGTGGGCTCGTTCCTCTTCAACCCCTTCTCCAATTGCATTGCTGAAAGGAGGGGCCCTTTCGGCCCTTTTCCCGAATCGCAGGTTCGGAGGAGACATGGTTGCTGCCCGGGCACCAGAATAGATCTAAGATGCGGCATCGGGACTGCCTTACTAAAGTGTAAGAAGTCCATGCCGAGCACCAAGCTGAAGTCGTCCATTGGCGCAACGGTAAAGTCCACCTGTCCGCTCCAATCTCCCAGCTTCATTGTTACTTTCTTGGCAACGTCGTGGATCGGTTTGGCAACTGAATTCACCGCTTTCATACTGCCTCCTTCTGGTAGGAGCTTCAACCCAAGTCTTTTTGCCTCCTTTTCTGAAATGAAGTTGTGGGTAGCACCGGTATCCACCATGGCACGAGTTTCCTTTCCGTTTACCAACGCATTCACATACATCAATCCAGAGTTTTTGGGTTGGCCCTCAGAGCCTTCTCTTCCCATAGCGCACATCATGCGAATGGCCCCCAGTCTGGAATGTTCTCCTTCACTAGGTACTACCTCATCGGCTTCTTCACCCTCGGGGTTTTCTAAGGACATGGAGGACAGTTTCTTTTGGAGATTGTCAATTTCTCCCTTGTGTCGACATTCGAACCACTTGTGCGGTCCTCTGCAAAGGATACACGTCAATGGCCTGGCTGTCGAAGATGAACTAGGGGTGCTTCCTCTACTAGAGAAGGAAGAAGCTCCACTTTTCCGAGAGTCTTCTCCCCCACTCCTATTGTATCTATTGTTCGAGTTGTTGGAGCTCACTTGCGATCCATGTCCGGAGTTCCTAGGAGGGTTCGGTGTCGGCCCGCTATTCCCTTTCTTCAAACCTTGTCCTTTCTCTGAGGAGTAGTCCATCAACCTTTCGGCTACAGCGATGGCTCCCGATAAAGTATCAATCTTTTGGCACCAAATTTCTCTTTGGGCCCATTCCTTAAGACCACGCACAAAGTTGAATAGGCGATCTTCCTCGGACATATTGTGGATCTCCAACATGCACGCTGAAAACTCTTTGACATACTCCCGGATGGAACCCTTATGCTGCAAAGCAGCGAGCTTGGTGCGAGCAACAAACTCGGTATTCTCGGGATAAAATTGGGCCATCAGCTCTTTCTTCAGATCCTCCCAAGTATCCACTGACGTCCTCTTAGCTTGGATGTCGGTGTACTTGGTGCGCCACCAAAGCTTTGCATCATCCACCAAATACATAGTGGCGGTATCAACTTTTAACTCATTCTCCAACTGACAGACCCGAAAGTATTGCTCCATGTCGAAAATGAAATTATCGACTTCTTTTGAATCTCTCGTGCCATTGAAGGTCCGGGGCTTGGGAGGTTTTATCTTGGCACCTCCACTTCCCCCGAGCCCTCTCTAGGCACGCATTAAGGTTGCACATTTATCATGTCCTTCATCAGCGACGCCTTGCACGAAGTTAAGTTGCTCCGTTAACCCATCCACAGTAGCGGCAAGCCTCTCTATTTGGTCGGCTTGTTTTATTACAATATCCTCGAGTTTGGGCAGCCTTTCTTCAAGCATAGCCCACTGTTCGGACTTGCCTTCAAGCCAAGCAAGCCTTTCCTCGAATGTGTATTCATGCATCTCTCCTTCTTCTGCCATCTCTACGGCAAACTTGGCTCTGATACCAAACTGTCACGGTCCGAGTGATTCAACACCAGATCGTGCGGCGCGCTCTCGTCTTTTGGCGACAAGGGCGCAAGCCTAAAGCAAGGAGGTTCATGAGCACACAGCAACACGGACCTACGGTGTCTCAAGAGGGCGCACGAGAACAACGAGTGCGGAGTCGGGGCTTGTGACGGCCGATACTTCGAAGCGGGCACAAGCGGAACCGACGAAGGGTCTCTTGGTTTGGTGGGGGATGCTTTAAAACAAGGCAAGCACAATATCTATAAAGGCTTAAACAACACACAAGTCTTAAAGCAATAACAATGGGGTAGAGAGCTTTGATTGAATAACCATTCGCTCCCTAAAGAGCTTTATATTGCATTAGTAGAGAATTACAAGTGAACGTTGAAATGACAGTAACACAATAATTCTCCCTAGAGTCTAGAAAAATAAAAAGAAAGACTAAAGAGACATTACATAAGGAAAATATAAGGAAAATAAAGAAGAATACATAACAAAGAGGTTGGATTCTAACACTTGGCCTGATCCCCCGCATCTCCTCCCTAAGGATCCTTACGAAAGGGCCAAACTCCGTTTTTGGGCTGCCTACTTTCTTTCAGCCGGTAAGCACTTATCCTTTATTTTTTTTTAAGGTCAGGAGGGGTAAGGGTAAGAAATCCCCACCCTTAAAGTGTCTCTAGTGGGGATTGAACCTCCAACCTCAAGGTTCAATTCCTACCACTATATCAAGCTTAGCTTTGTAAGCACTTATTCAATTTTTGTTTGTTTGATTTGGTTTGATGCTTTTTAAATTGAATGGGGTCAATTGACCTCATAAAGCCAGTTTAATTTGAATATCCATTAATCATATGTAGATATACAGCTTAAATATGGTTATACCACCCAAGTGTTAGAATATGATTAGAAATTAAATTATTATTAGGATTGTAATTGTTCTTTTTACATACATAAGTATTGAAATTGTTCTTTCTACATACAAAACTAATTAGCTAGTTTACAATAGCTATCTATATTAACGCATTGATAATTAGTACTTACAGACAACTTATAGTAACTATGTGATACGAGTAGGTGTTTACTTTATGTACATTAATTTGATTACAAATTTGTTTACTTTATGTACATTAATTTGATTTTAATTCTCGTCGCATATTATACTCAAATAGTCAAATTGCATGGTTAAAATAGTGAAAAAGTTGTCACAATCGGCATTTGGTAAGTCTTACAAGCAATTCTTAAGTCAGAAACTCACCTTAAAGAAGTGTACGTAACATTGTCTTATCCAACCCCTTGTTGATAAATAATTAACTTTTGTACAAAATTTAAAGAAAAATAAGTGTAAACTAGTTTTTTTAAAATTAATTATCTTGAAAAAGAAGCACATTTGATGTCAGTTTCTTGATCATAACGAAATACTTTCTCTACCACATTATATTATTAGCTTCACTAGTCATTTCTAGAGAAGGTTTCTTGTGTATGTAATAAAATAACTAAACTAATTCCAAATTGTAATTAATCTAGGTGTTAAGAGATTGACTTTATTTTTATACATGTAGTTCAAAGTCTTGCGATGTAAGGACATTGACAAGGCTAAAGCCTCAAGCATTATATAAGTCTAGTCATTCCCATAAGTTTTACCCAATCTCACATTTGCCAACCCAAGGCCCTTCATCCGGCTGCTGCCTTCGTCTCCGGTCCTGACACTTAGACCATGGAGGAAGAGAGCTCGGTTCAGCTACACGGAATGTGGGCTAGCCCTTATGCACATTGGGTGAAATATGCCCTTGAAATTAAGGGGATAGAATTTGAGTACAAAGAAGAGAATTTAGGAGATAAAAGTGAGCTACTATTGCAATATAATCCTGTCTATAAAAAAGTGCCTGTACTTGTGCATAATGGGCTACCAATTGCGGAGTCCATGATCATCCTTGAATACATTGATGAGACTTGGGCTGATCCTCCACATCTTTTGCCTAAGAATCCTCTTTTACGGGCCAAATATCGCTTTTGGGCCGCCTACTTTCAATTGGTAAGAAAACTTCTCCCTATTTTGCTATTTTTTCTTGTGCAGATGTGCAGTTATATAGTTATATATAGTAATATAACTTTATTTTGTTAATAACACTTTCGATCTCTTTCCTCATAATGTCATGAAAAGCCTTGGGGCTTTTAGGCTTTTAGCCTATCATTAATATATTGTCTTTATTAGGTATTAGGAATATTGAAAAATATATTATTGGTAGTGTGTTATCTCTATTTGTTTCTCCAATTCTCCTCCTTAAAATTTTGTGCATCACTCTTGCATATTTATCAAACACAATAATGTGAAAATTAGAATTTGCAAACTAAATTTGTGGCAAAATTAAGGGAAATTCCCTGTTTCTCATGGTGAGAAACGAAATTTGTTTCTCATGGGGACATTTTCGTGAATAAATCAACAATTTTTTTAATTATTGTAGACTCTATAGTTGAATAAAGTTAAATAAAGTTGTTGGTTTATTTACGAAAATGTCATACCATGAGAAATTGGGGTATCCTCCAAATTTAATAAGATCTAGTTTATTTAATAGATTTTCTTCTACAATAATGTGTAATATTATAGTCATTTTTTAGATAAACTATAATATCCAACCAAATAAGGTTTAAAAAGATCAAATCACTTATTTAAATTCAAGTGTACCTGTGATAAAAAGTTGGCGTGCCACAGATCTTTCAGACGATGCAGAAAACATTGTTGACAGAAGGAGAAGCACACCAAGATGTCAAAAAGGAGCTGCTAAAGAAGCTAGATGTGGTTGAACAAGAAATCATTCAAGTGTTCCAAAATGGTTTACCATCTTTCAAAGATGTGAAACCTGACTACTTAGATATAATGATGTATTCCATACTTGGAACATCAAAAGAATTGGAGGAATTCTTCAACACTGAGCTTATGACTGCACAAAGGTACCCCCTATTGTTCTCTTGGGTCGAGGCGATTGATGAGAATTTTGAAGTGAAAGAAGTAAGACCATCTAAGGTTAAGCTTCTTGAATTTCTCAAAGCTATGCAACAGAAACAACATATTCCGGCATAGTAGTATGAAAAGCTTAATTAGGTTATCACATGTCACTGGTTGTTAGGTATTACAGTAATATCCATCTATTTCTTTTAATAAGATGTATTGTTAGGAATATTGGAAAATATACGTGTGATATATTTATACAAAACCTAAGAACATAAGATAGGAAACAATCTCCTAAAAGATACTTTAATAATATCTTATAACCTAATTATATTATTCTCCTAATACCAATTGGTTGTTGGTGTAGTGGTGATTGGGACTACACTTGGTAGGGAGGACTCGTGTTCGATCCCCCGCAACAACAATCGGGAGGAGACTGGAACCTAACCACCCAGAACTGATCCCCGAATCCGGATAAGCCCAAAGGGTCAACCGGGTAGAACACCAAAAAAAAAATATTATTCTCCTAATAAGATCAATACAGAAAATATATCACACATATATTTTCCGATATTATCTCTAACATATATCCTTGTATTCAATAAATGATCATATATTCATATGTTATTCAAGTCGATCATTTTCCAATTTATTTGCGACAAGCTTTGAAAATAAATCGAGTTGTGTTTCTAGAAACAGACTCCTCCTAAACTTGTTAGGGTATAACAAGGTACATCAAGATAGAGGATGCCCCACTTTCTCATGGTGAGTTTGTTTCTCACATGTCATTTTTGTAAATAAACCAACAACTTTATTCAATTGTGGAGCCCACAATAATGAAATTATGAAAAAGTTGTTGATTTATTCACGAAAATGCCCCCATGAGAAACAAATTTCGTTTCTCACTATGAGAAACAGGGAATTTCCCTATCAAGAATTCAAGATATCATAAAGCTAATGTTCGAGTGTCCCAGTATCTCTTAGCTCCGCCTAGCAAAGGTATGTCCGAGGGCTTCGCCTTGACGCCTGAGTGGAAAGATTAGGAAAAAGTTCCCATCATGAGTGGACAAATTAAGGGTAAATCCATACTATTGTGATCGGCCCTAATATAGACGAAGTACATATATTTCTCCAAAATAACGCCTTTTAAAAATATGAAGTTCTGTTGCCGGGAATCGAACCCGGGTCTCCTGGGTGAAAGCCAGGTATCCTAACCGCTGGACGACAACGGATTATTGAATTGGATAATAGGTGTAGAGTACTAGTTGATTTGATTATGGGCTAACTTTATTGAACTTTTGGAAAATTAACACTCCCAATTCCAAAGTACATAGGCCCATTACAAATTTGATGTACCATGGTGACAAATTGACTCCAAATATATTAACGAAGACTCCATTTCAAAAGAGGTTCCATAATTTTAATGTATGTAGGTTCAATAATTGAAATGTACTCCGTAATAGATACGGATCTAGATCGTACCCGCAATTCAAAAAAAAAAAGTCCATTTCAAAGGAGATTCTATTTCAAAATTATAATACGTATGATAATAGGAGAAGAAGCATCTTAGCCTTATAAAATGATCAACTCTCTCTTCTTCTACTAATGTGGGACACTTACATATAGTGATACTTGAAAAGTCTATTTTTCAACAATATGATAACATACTGATTACAGACTAGTACATTACTAATATGAGGGGATACATTTAATCAATCTGAAAATGAGCCCATAAAGAAAACATGGGAATACTAATAACTTGCTTTTGACAGCCACATTAAACCGTCGGAAAATACAGTATGATCATCTCTATGCCTTCAGTGGGAGGTTCTTCTGCTGCATAACATGAAGAAGCTCAATGAGCTCAGGCTTTGATGGTGTCGCGTCATTAACTTCAGGAACTTCACTCAATGCCTTGGTCCAACTCACCAAGAGCAGGTACCTTTCAGCAGTGAACTGCTTATAGCCAAGGAACTCTTCGACAACGTCGAGAGTTCCTAAGTGAGAATACAACACTATATCCAAGTATCCAGGTTTCACTTCTTGGAAAGATGGACAGCCATTTGGGAATAACTCGGCCTTGATAAATTCTTCAATCGTATCCAACTTCTTCCAATACTCGTTCATTGTGTCCTCTGTTGGTTTACCCTGTACTTTTGTTATTAACCCTTTGCCTAATATCTCTGTTGCCTGCCCAAACCAATGAAACCGTGCTTAGTTCGTCGACTGCAATCGTCAGTTATCTAGCTAACAGCCTAGCACTTTCTTTGTCCGAAATTAATTGATTTAATCTCTCAATATAAGTGTTATGCTATTTCAATCATATCCCATTTTTAAAAATTAGAAAATGTGAGTTTATTTTTTTTTTCTACATTCTAAATTGTTTAAGATATACTGATAATTAAATATATATACGATGTGTTAAAATTTGATAAAAATGTTCGTCAATATATTGTTGGATATTTTACATTTAATAAGAGTACTTAACGATGATTTTAAGTATATATGAGTAGCTAAAGTTGTATATTGGCAAAATGCATTCAATTATTTCAAGTATATACCATAAAATAGAGTCAACACAAGCAAAAATAACACAATATCGTAGCAAAGGGGGCTAAGCCGGCTAACCTGTTGTATAAATGCGGCCCAAAAGCGATGTTTAGCCCTAAGGTAGGGATCCTTAGGGAGGAGATGCGGAAGATCAGGCCAAGTCTCGTCAATATACTCGAGGATGATTGTTGATTCCGCAATGGATAGGCCATTGTGCACAAGAACAGGCACTCTCTTGTGCACAGGATTATATTGTAAGAGCAACTCACTTTTGTTTTGTAAATCCTCTTCTATGTAGTCAAAATCTATGCCCTTAATAATAAGGGCAAGTTTGACTCTCAAAACATAAGGACTTGCCCACATTCCATGTAGTTTTACTGAGCTCTCTTCCTCCATTAATTACTGAGCTATCTGCCTATCTCGCCGAATTCAATTGTATACAGATCTCAATCACTTTAAAGTGTGTGTATTAATGTGCCTTCAAAAAAAAAAATTGTGTGTGTATTTAATGTATATATAGTTACTCCGTATATACTCAGTAGTAAACTTCATTAATAAGCAACGTAGTCAACTTTGTGTAGCAGCATTATAATACACCGATAATATTTAATGTGATCCATATCAACCATTATTAACCTCGTCTTATCTAGCTGTGTAAGATTGTAAGGGCTTGTTTGATTCACCTTATTTTTGCTTATTTGAATTCATTTGGTTTTGTCTGTTCTGGTCTGGAGGTTTGATTTGGTCACATCTGATTGTCTAATTAAACCAAACTTTAACCTTAACTGTACGATAATCTATAAGGAAAAAATGTACAAAGTGGGGTCTTCTTAGATTCGTAATACGGAGTAATGTGTATTTTATTAATATGTAATTTTCATAATTTTTTTCATTACGGAATTAAAGGTATTTAGCGATAAAAAAAGTGCACATAAAACGATTATTTGATCTAAATTTAATTTTTAGATCTGATCTGATTTGAACTTATTTTTTCTAATCTGTATTTATTTTTTCTGAAATGTGTAAAAATAAGATGAGCTAAACAAGTTCTGCCGATGTTTCTTTATCAAAAACTTTATCTCTATTTTTAATAATACCAGATGTATGTATGATCTCATTTTTAGTTTTTCTTAATTTGCATAGCTACAATTACTGAGTAACAGTAATTAAAACAAAGGTACTCGTAGTTTTTTTTTATATTTTTATGTAACATGATTATTTTTCCTTAATTATTCATTTATATTTTCACTTTTTCTTATAAAGTACCACCTCTACATTTCTACAAATTTTGTGTCAATTCACTAAAGCATATACTACGTGTATCTTGCTAACCGACAACTTTGTTTTGAATTTTCAATCAGATTAAGGATGCATGACTGCATGAGCTCATTGATGACATATTGATATCTTTCATCCTATGAGTCTATGACAGCATTACCCTTATACTATCATTGACGTATTATTTTGTCTAATTTTATTTTGTTGTCAAAAATAATTAAATTGGGCAGAATTGAACCTTAACATACGTTCAACTCTATCTTTTTAATTTTATTTTCATACATAGTATTTTGACAATTTGACAACTTACTTAGGTGATGTTCTTCTGACCTAAAAAAATAAATTAAGATATGGTAAATATAATTTATGCTAAATGTAAATAAGTTAAGTTCAATAATAATCTGTCTTGTATGGACCCGGTCCACACTAACTTAATGTGGACCAAAGCCCATCAATCCATTAGTGACATATACCCAGCCAAAAATCCATGGTCGTTCTTTTTTACTTCCTTATTGACTGCTTCTCTCTTGTTCTGCTCTCAATCAATTTAGGATAATTTTCTCTCTCTTCTCAAACAATTTTGGGGATTTTTTCTCTCTCCTCTCAGTATTTTTTCAAATTCTGTATTCCAAGAGATTTAAATCAACATATATATATATATATATATATATATATATATATATATATATATATATATATATATATGAAGACAATGTACAATTACAATCATTATTCAACTTCGATTTGATGCAATTTAAAGCAATTACGAAGGTAAACATCAACATATTTGTTAAAATTCGTTCTAATTATACAAAATTTATTGATTATTGTTATTAATTGTAATGTTAGAAAACTTAAATAATCTTTCAATTGAATTTGAAATTCAACAAGAAGATTTCTTGGAATAATGGAGTACTTAATTGTAGATTGAGACTTTTTTTTTTAGGAAAAGCTCGTGTAGAGATTTGTTATAATCAATTTTCATTTGTTATAATCAGTTTTTATTTTTTTTAATCGATTATGTATCAGTATAATTAGTTTTACAACTCAATTAGTTTGATATAATATCATCATTTTTATTTCTTATAATCACTTTTCATTTTTTATAATCAAATTTAGTTTGATATAATCACTTTTTTTTTTTTATAATCACATTTAGTTTGATATAATCACTTTTTATTTTTTTTATAATCACATTTAACTTAATATAATAACTTTTTATTTCTAATAATCACATTTAGCTTGATATAATCACTTTTTATTTCTTATAATCACATTTGGTTTGATATATTCGCTTTTCATTTAGTTTACTCCAACTGATGATCGTTATCCTCTTCGTTTACTCCAATTTGATGAAATTCCATTTCTAATTATGACCGCCATTGTTGATTTTGATGAATTTCCTCCTCTCGTCTTCACCATTGTTGAAATATAAATTAAATACAGAGAACATCAAGGGAGGAGAGAGAAAAAATTACTGAGAAAATCAAACAGAAAAGACAAAAGAAAGAAAGAGCTTGTGATTAAAGCTTCCAATAAAAAAGTGTGATATTTACTCGGTCCACATTAATATTAATGTGGACCGGGTTTATTTTAGTCTACAAACTCCTAATTCCTTACGCATTTATCACAATAATTTTAAATCAATTATGAAAACTGATAACGATCAATTATGCCTTTGTGTGGAGATAACTCTGTCGCATGGCATGAAGAAGCTCAATGACCTTATCCTTTGGAGGCGTTACATCTTGAACTTCAGGAACCTCTTTCAGTGCATTTATCCAAGATGACAAGAACGGGTACCTTTCGGCATTGAAAGGCCTAAACCCAAAGAACTCTTCCGCAACATCAGAGCTTCCTAACAAGGAATACAACACTATGTCCAAGTATCCGGGTTTCGCATCCTCGAAAGATGGACAGCCATTATGGAATAGCTCAGCCTTGATTAATTCTTCAGCCACGTCCATCTTCTTCATCATGTCTTCTGATGGTTTACTTTCTGTTATCAGCGCTTTACCCAATATCTCCGCTATCTGCACATATACCATCATGTATAGTTGTACTGTTTGTTAATTCGGGAAAAAACTCTCCTTTATATAAGATTCATTGATACTAGAGCTCAAGTAACAGAAGATCAATGAAGAGGTGAGGAGCTAACCTGTTGTAAATACGCGGCCCAAAATCGATGTTTGGCCTTTAAATAAGGATCCTTAGGCAGGAGATGAGGGGGTTCAGTCCAAGCCTCATCAATATATTCGACGATGATAAGTGACTCTGTAATGGGTAGACCATTGTGCACAAGAACAGGGACTTTCTTATGCACAGGGTTATATTGTAAGAGTAATTCACTTTTGTTTTGTAAGTCTTCCTCTATATACTCATACTCTATTCCCTTAATTTTAAGGGCAAGTTTGGCTCGCAAGGCAAATGGACTTGCCCACATTCCATGTAGCGTCACTGAGCTCTTTTCCGCCATTGATTTCGTGTTACTTTTGCCTGGTATTGCTCTCTTTCTCAAGGTATAAAATCTAATAATGATTATATCTTTATATAATGTTTGTTCTTGGATTCAGCCTTTAATTAACAAGACTTAGTCTTACGAAAAAAAAAAGGTTAACATCTTAGGTCAATTCAATATATTAGCTAAAGGTTGACTATAAGTTAACTTTGTACAGCAATAAAACTCCAATCACAACACTCCACTTAAAGATGTGCAAGAACAAGTCTTATTGTGGGAGATTGGCATTTTAAAGTGGTATTATTTGTGAAACATAAAATATTTATTTATTCTAATTAATATTTAACAGAAGAAGTATAAGTAATTTTACGTACATATGAGCAAATGTTTATTCTCAATTTAGACTAGTATCATTAAGTGATCAAGTAGTACCATTAATTATTTAGTGTACTATATACACATTAAGTAGTAGCAAGTAAATAGTACTATTAGTTCACCTATGTGCATATTTCAATTTTATGGAAAGGAATTCTAAACTTTCACTTTCTAATTTACTTTTTTAATTTTTTTTTTCTCCCACAATTTATCAAATCTCATTCTATTTTTTTAAATTTCTCTATCTTCCAAACATAATAACTATCTCAAAAGTAGTAATAAAAAAAACAAAAAAAAAACAAAAAAAATTGTTATGGTTTTCTTTTTTTTGTTTTCAAATTTATATGATATAAGTCATATAATAAAACAAAAAAAAGTCAAACTTATTAAAATCAAGATACTTTTGAAACTGACAACAAAAAAGTGGAAATACCTTTTTCTTGTTTCCTGTTTTTGGTTTTTTGTTTTCAAAAAAACAGAAAACTGAAACCAGAAAACGATGCCAAACAATAATAACTTTTTTTATTCAAAATTTCTATTATAATCAATTAATAATCTTCAAAATCCTTCATTTTTCAAATTTAACTTATTTTAGCGATTAAAATCTTTAATTTTAAGATGGAATTGATGATTAAACGGTCACATTTGTAAAGTTACACAGCGCCCCATAAGAATTACGTCGTCATAAGCCCATCACTAAATTAGGCAATTATTGGATCACCGTATCGTTCATGAGCTTTAGCCATCAAATTAATCTTTGATTGAGTTGGTCCTTTAACATCGTATCAAGAATCAGTATAACACAAAGGTGTATATATAGGTTCAAATCTATAACATGGCTCATGCCGCATCCACACTTCAAGCGTTAAAGGATGTCATATTATGAGGGGTGTAATAGAGTATGAACAACCAATTCAACAATGATTTGAAACTTAACTACCTAACTAAATTGTAAATTGTTTTTTATCAATCACAAAAATAGATAAGGATCATTTAAATCTTTAATTGAGATGGTTCTTCCTCGAAGCATGAAGAAGCTCAATGACCTTAACATTTGATGGTATTGAGTCTTTAATTTCATCCATTTTTATTTAGAAGATGCTTCTTCTTTCACATTTACTAATACATATCTGTAGCCATATATGAAAAGTATAGGTCGAGATGAATTTAGTAAGACGTCAAATGAATAAAAAAAAATCTAAGAAATAAAAAGATTTTAGATAAGTGTTGAAAGTAAAAACTAAAAAGTGTTTCATCTAAAAAGCAAAAGGCTCAGTTTTGCATGAATTGCATCTGCCCTCCTAAATGTAAACATGACAACATACGTGAATAATGGTCCTTCTCTTAAAAATCTTTATCTATATATTGCTACGGATATTACATAAAAATTCTCTACATCCATCCTTAGAAAATGACCTTACAACTTTTTACCAATAACATTTAGTGTAAGTGGAGTCGACATATAATTAATAATGGGACATCAAGAGAGTGATAGATGGCTTAAGTAATTAGAGCTTCGTTCTTGATTTTACGAGATCTTGGGATCGATTCTCACCCTCACTCTGAGAAATTCTCCAACAAAATATGTTTCAAACTAACTAATTTAGTAGCACTCAACACTTTAATTTCATTAATTAATCAATAGTCTAAAAACCTTTATTACAAACATTCAGTTGTCTAGCTATTACAATACTCAAATTAAAAACACATAATTTATTCTCCAAGCTCACTGCTCATGTACTTAATCCCTCAAACATTATAAATCACAATAGTTTTCAATCAATTAATCGATAATGATCAATTACGCCTTTGTTTGGAGGTTACTCGCTCTGATCTGTCGCCTGGCGCGAAGAAGCTCAATGACCTTAGCCTTTGGAGGCGTTACTTCTATAACTTGAGGAACCACTTTCAATGCCTTAATCCAAGATGCCAAAAATGGGTACCTTTCTTCAGTGAAAGGACTAAACCCAAAGAGCTCTTCCGCAATATAATCAAAGCTTCCTAATAAAGAGTACAACACTATGTCCAAGTATCCTGGTTTCGCATCCTCGAAAGATGGACAGCCATTAGGGAATAGCTCAGCCTTGATCAATTCTTCTGCCATGTCCATCTTGTTCCGATACTCGTTCGTCATGTCTTCTGATGGGTTGCCTTCCTTTTGCAGCACTTTACCCAATTCCTCTGCCACCTGCACATACCATATCATAATACTCCCTTCATCCAAATCATATCAGTTTTCTCGTAATTAAGGATATGACATGAATTTATTAATGGATTATGCGTTGACTCAACATATTGAAGAATAAGAATTACTCCTATCAACAATTAGTTTTAATTTAGGATTGAAAGAAATTAAACCCAAACCGTAACTATTAATGAAATTGAACATATAATTGTATAAGTTTGATATTTTTCAATAAACTAGAGTTACAAATTGTATTCATTGATACAAGCTAAGAAAACAAGTTAAGGTAAAGATGAAAGAGTAGTGATCAATGAGCTAACCTGTTGTAAATAGGCGGCCCAAAATCGATGTTTGGACCTTAGATAAGGATCCTTAGGCAGGAGATACGGGGGATCGGTCCAAGTCTCATCAATATACTCGAGGATGATCATTGACTCTGCAATGGGTCGACCATTGTGCACAAGAAAAGGCACTTTCTTATGCACAGGGTTATATTGTAAGAGTAATTCACTTTTATTTTGTAGATCTTCTTCTATGTACTCGTACTTTACACCCTTCAATTTAAGGGCAAGTTGGACTCTCGTAACGTAAGGGCTTGCCCACATTCCATGTAGCTTCACTGAGCTCTGTTCTGCCATCGATTTTGTGTCTCTTTTGCCTGGTCTTGCTCTCTTTCTCAAAGTAGAACATGTAATAAGGATTACATCTTTTTTTAATGTATGTTCAATCTTGGATTTAGCTTAATCAACAAGCGAAGACTTAGAAAATAAAATATAGTCAACTTAGTACAACAATAATTGTATAAAAATCCAATTAAAACACTTCATTTAAAAAGATTTGGTAGAGCAGTAGTTGGGAGTGTAATTTGAATAGGAAAAATTAGAAATAATAATCCCAACTTTCATCAATTTTGCTAGAATAATCCCAACTTTCATCAATTTGGATTATTCTGGAATAATCCGAACTTTATGGGTCATTCTTTTTCTTCAATCCCTAACCAGTCAACCAAAGTCAATGACCTATTATATCAGGTCACTTGACACGTGTCAAGTCCTGATTGGTCCAACAAAATAAAAATAAAAAAAAAAACAAAAAAAAAATTAAAAAAAGAAAAACCCCAGCCAGCAGCCTCCCCTCCCCCACCGTTCCACCATAACCGACCTCCACCACCATAGAAATCCGCCGCCTCGCCATCGCCGGGAGCCGCCGTTCTTTCCTTGAAGCTCAGCGGACCGCGTCCTTCCCTCATCATTTTCCCCCTTTCCCGAAATCTCCTTCAACCCCCCCCCCCACGCAACCACCAAAGAAACGGACCTTTCCCACTCCCGAAAAACCCCAATTACTCCTCCCCCACCCCGAAACCCTAGCGGCTAGGGTTTTCAATGGTGGGGGAAGTGGTTTTTGGTGGTTTTCGAGAGTGGGCAAGGTGGTTTAGAGGAGTTTTCGAGTGGGGCTGCTGGTTCAGACGGATTTTTCGAGAGTGGGGGAATGGGTTTTCGGGAGTGGGGCTAGTGGTGGATGGTGGTTTGGTCGGAGTGGCGACCCTAATGGTTGGCTGGTGGTGGGGGAGAGACGACCGGCGACGAGGGAGGTGGCTGGATTGGCGGGTTGCCGGATTTTAAGGATGGTTGGGGTTTGGCTCGGTGGTTTTTCTTTTTTAATTTTGTTTTTTTTTTAACCAATTAATTTTTGACACGTGTCACTTAAAAAAAAAAAAAAACCATTCTACCGGTAGCCGGTATTAGGGATTGAAGAAAAAGAATACCCCCAAAAGTTCGGATTATTCCAGAATAAATGAAAGTTGGGATTATTCTACAAAAATTGAGGAAAGTTGGGATTATTTTTTCTAATTTTTCCATTTGAATATTACAAACTTTAAAAAAAATCGGGTGTACAATAATTATTGTACATCTACTATAATGATAGACTAGATTGATCAAAAGTTACCCCTGAAATAAATAAAAGTTACCTTAATATGCATAAAAGTAATCCAATACAAATAAAAATTATTAGTAAAGAATCACATTTTAAATGACTAAAAATCAATTATTTGTGATTAAATGTAATTAAATTACCATTATAAAACTTTTCTTATTGTCTATTTATATAAAAATTGTACTCCATATTATGTTAAAAGTTACCCAAAAAGTTACCCTAAAATTAGGTAAAAGTTACCCTTATACAGTTATATTGCTCGATGTACAGTAAAATTAGTGTAAACCGGGTGTATACAAAAGTTTTTGTTTGAATATTCATAGAAAGTGATCAATCTATTACGGAGTACTGTAGCTATTTAACACTATTAATACTACTCGTTGACTATTATTCTTTTTAAACCGAGGAAGTGGTAATGTGGTATATTTCCTAAAAGTAGGGTTCCTAACACGCGCAATATGGTTAGCCGTTTGAAAAGAATAATTACAGTTGTATGCGTGCTTATTAATGTTTTATGACTGTTTATATGTTATTTTATTATAATTATTTGCAAAGATTACTTTTTGTTTATGATTAAGGTTTACACATTACTCAAATATATAACAAATTTGAAAAAATCTCTAATTGGGAAAATTACTCTAACTAAGCTACTACAAAACTACATGTATTTTGTAACTTTTAACTAATTCAATGATGTAAATATTATTTATTAGTAAAAATTAAAATTCAAAAAACAAACTATTACCATTCCACGGTAGGATATACACTCTAATTATGCTACCACAAAATTTTGGAAGCCGTTGTCGAAAAAAAAAAAAAAAAAAAAAAAAAAAAAAGACTATAACCATTCTACGGTAGGAAATATACTCTAACTAAGCTACTACAAAACTACAAGTATTTGTAACATCTAAATAATTCAATAATGTAAATAGTACGGAGCATTTATTAGTACAAATTAATGTAAGAAGAAAAAAAAAACTATTAATCATTCCACATATACTAATCTAGTTAGGTACTAATATCTTCTTACTTTTTTTAATTAGGTTTTTTTTTTAATTGAGGGTAAATTGGTAAATGAACATTATGAGGGATATAGTTGTTTTTACACTATTCTTAAGAGCATTCTCATACTTTTTATAAGGTAGTTGAAATCAAATTGGGAAACAAATATTTTGAGGGATATAATTGTCTTCACACTATTTATAAGAGTATTCTTATACTTTTTATATGGTAAAAGGTAGTTGAGGGCGAATTGGTAAACAAACATTCTGAGAAATATAGTTGTTTTCACACTATTCATAAGAGCATTCTCATACTTTTTATAAGGTATATATGGAAGGGAAAAAAGAAGGCAACTATTGGTACGGTAAACCTCAATGCATGTTTGTTAAATCCAAGAGCAAACTCACATGTGAATGAAAGTGTTATTCCACATTAATCAAATGAAAGTAAAGTAAATAGTAATATGGATATCTCACATTGAAAAAAAAAAAAAAGAAAAAAAAAAGAAAAAAGAAAATTTTGTCATAAAATGGACATTTGTTACGGCTGACAAGCGCGGCCTAAATCCGTTTAACAACATAAAAGTCAAATACCATGTTGCGTGTATATATTGAGAAATAGAATAATTGTAGTTCAAATCCCAAAGAAAAAAAATGTTAAATTGTGACTCGAAATTTAGTAGGGCTGACTTTGAACGCTTATATCTCTAAAACTACAAATGATTTTGAGGTGATTCAAGTTGGAGGTGATAGCTTGGTTCAACGATAGGTCATATGCCCAATTCCGATAAGAAACGAGAAAGTTATGACCGTTTTACAAAAACCTGACGAAGCTGGAAATTTGCAACGAGACTGCGAGCTATAGCTCTATGCGAGTGAGCTATAGCTCGGCCCTATGAGGACTTGCGGCAAGCATGAGCTAGCTTCCGAGCTATAGCTCGGTAGTTAGGTTATTCTAGGATAATTTATGGAATATTTCCTAAAATTATATCTTTTCTATGACGGCTATTTGAGTATACTTGGGGAACAATTTTAGGGTTTTATTAGGGTTTCCTTGTGTTATAAAAGGACCCTTTAGTTGATCAATTAGATGATACCTTTTGAGCCATTAGATTTAGGACTCCTTGTATTATTCTCTTGTTTCTTTCTCCATTATAGTGAAGAAACTCTCGAACCCCCCACCCGTGGATGTAGGTCTATTTTGACCGAACCACGTAAATCCTTGTGTTCTTTGTTTATCTTTTTTATTGTTTTTCTCGTTCTTAATTTCAATTGACTTGTTCCGCATTAATCAAACACGATTACACCCTAATTTCCTAACAAGTGGTATCAGAGCCAAGGTTTTAAGGTCTTAAGGTTTAGGTGTTTATAGATTAGTTTGATTAAATTATGCCAATGAAATTTGATATTGAGAAATTCGATAGGCAAGTGAACTTTGGCCTTTGGCAATTGAAGATGAAAGCCATCTTGGTTCAAAGTGGCTGTCACAAGGCTCTTGAAGGTGTATCCAACAAGCCTTCGGGCATGACAGTGGATACATGGGAGGAAATCGATTTGAAGGCTCTTTCGGCAATTCAATTACGTCTCTCTGATGATGTTTTGAGAGAGGTTGCCAAGGAGACGACTTCTGCAGGTTTGTGGTTGAAGTTGGAGTCACTTTATATGACAAAGAGTGTGACCAACCGTCTACTACTCAAATCTAGACTTCATGATCTTCGTCTAGAAGAAGTTAAACCGCTTAAGTCTTATTTAGATGAATTCTTCTCTAATATTATTGATTTGCAAAACATCGATGTTGAGATCGATGATGAGGACATGGCTATTAGGTTTTTGTGTTCTTTACCGCCTACGTATAAGCATTTTCGAGATACTTTATTGTATGGTAGAGATGATTTGAGTTTGGAGGATGTTAAGGATGCCTTAACCCAGAGAGATTTAATTGACAATAAGTTGGTTAATAAATCTAATAATCCTACTCAAAATAATGCTTTAGTTGCTCATGGTGGTAATAAGAATTTTGGTAAAGGAAAAGTTTGTAACTATTGTCATGTGAAGGGTCACATCAAAGCCGAGTGTTGGAAATTAAAGAAGAAGAATGAGGAGAAGTCCAATGAGGACAAATCCGCAAATATTGCCAATACCGACGATGATGATGATTATGCACTTTAGGGTTACGAGCTTTAGGGTTGCGGTTTCTACGATCTCTTCATGATAAGTTCCCCTTTGAGATCTCTTGGTAAAACGAGAAACGGTGTGGATTTTTGGTATGGAGTCTATGATAGATTGCTTTTGATTTTTGTTTGTAATAAAGTAGAAATCTTGGTTATGCATTAGATTTTGTTCTAGTTATGCTATTTCTTATCTCAATTTTGGTACTTTTGTGATTTACTAATTACAATTGCAATTTAGAAATTCTTGATGTAATTTTTATTTTTCTAGAATTGCTTAAGTTTTTTTTTGGTTTGATTTTTGAGATGAAGAAGTGTTTGAAGAGAGTTTGGTCAATTTTTATAAGCATGCTTGGCGTCGGGACATTATACTCTCAATCTAGGCCATGTGATGATTTTTGTGTACGGAATTTTGTGTTCGGAGATGCACCGGTTCACAAGTTATGGAAGATGTCCGTTTGGTGATAGCCTAATGTGAGTAGGCTTATGGAGTTTTGTTTAAGGTGGAGGTTTTATGTTTTATTATGAGCATTACTTCTTGGTTTTGGTTCAAGGTGGAGTTACCTTGTTTTTTGGTTGATTTCAAGTCAAGGTGGAGATTGTTAAATTGTGACTCGAAATCTAGTAGGGCTGACTTTGAACGCTTATATATCTCAAACTACAAACGATTTTGAGGTGATTCAAGTTGGAGGTGATAGTTGGGTTCAAGAGCTTTCCAACGATAGGTCATATGCCCAATTTTGATAAGAAACGAGAAAGTTATGACCGTTTTACAAAAACCTGACGAAGCTGAAAATTTGCAACGAGACTGCGAGCTATAGCTCTATGCGAGTGAGCTATAGCTCGGCCCTATAAGGACTTGCGGCAAGCATGAGCTAGCTGCCGAGCTATAGCTCGGTAGTTAGGTTATTCTACGATAAGTTATGGAATATTTCCTAAAATTATATATTTTCTATGACGGCTATTTGAGTATACTTGGGGAACAATTTTAGGGTTTTATTAGGGTTTCCTTGTGTTATAAAAGGACCCTTTAGTTGATCAATTAGATGATACCTTTTGAGCCATTAGATTTAGGACTCCTTGTATTATTCTCTTGTTTCTTTCTCCATTATAGTGAAGAAGCTCTCGAATCCCCCACCCGTGGATGTAGGTCTATTTTGACCGAACCACGTAAATCCTTGTGTTCTTTGTTATCTTTTTTATTGTTTTTCTCGTTCTTAATTTCAATTGACTTGTTCCGCATTAATCATACACAATTGCACCCTAATTTCCTAACAAAAAAAACACATATTCATTTATTTAGTAAAAAAAAAAGGATTATTGTGAAAAGAACATCATCTTCCACCTTATAAAAGAAAATACAAATTTAGAAAAATAATACAATACAAAAACCCAATTGAATTATAAATTCACTAATTAATCCTTATTTAGGGTCTGTTCTATTAGCTTATTTTTAGTTCAGCTTCAATCAATTCAGTTTCTAATTTCTTTTTTCCATACGTACTCCATTCGTGTTTTTTAAATGTTACACTTTAACCGGTATATAGTTTTAGACAATTTAATTGACTTAAATAAAATAAGAAGTAAGTGGGGTTAGTAGTTTATTGAAAAGTAATGAATGTGAGAGGAAAGATATAATAAAAATAAAAAAAATAAAAAAGTAGTAGCGGGTTTGATGGAGACCATGAGAGAAGAGAGATATGATATTTTATTGTAGTTTTTTGCCAAAAAAAAAGAAAGTGTAACACTTATTAAAATACGGCCGGATTTAATAAGTGTGACACTTATTAAAACACGAAGGGAGTAAGCAACTCAATTCACCTCTATTCAGTTCAGCTCAGATTCTATCATTTCAGATTCAATTAGACCCTTAATGAATAATAGTTTTATATCAATCACTTAACTTGATAATGCTCGTGAAGAATCTCAATGAGCTTAACCCTTGATGGAGTCGCGTCTTTAACTTGAGGAACTTCACTGAGTGCCTTGGTCCAAGACGCCAAGAACGGATACCTTTCTGCAGTGAGATGCTTAAAGCCATAGAACTCCTCAACAACGTCGAAGGTTCCTAAGAAGGAATACAAAACAATGTCCAAGTATCCGGGTTTCGCATCTTGGAAAGATGGGCAGCCATTTGGGAATAAATCAGCCTTGATGAATTCTTCGGCCATATCCATCTTCTTCCAGTACTCGTTCTTCTCATCCTCTGTAGGTTTACTTCTTGTTATCACTGGTTTGCTTAATATATCCATTACCTGCTCATACCATACAATGTTTATTATCAATTTTCCATCATTCAACGAATATTATGACACAAACTAACCCATTTAATCTATATCTATATCTATACTTAGTATTTAAAAACACAAACCATCATCCCCATCATGCCACATGTAATTAAAATTTATTTTTCACCAATGCCACATGTCACCTCCCTTCATTAATTAATCCCCTTTCTTATTATTTTAAAAAAGAACTAGCTTTAATTCAATACATGTATGAATGTTCCCTTCAAAAAAAAAAATACATATATGAATGTTATTTGATTCATTTTTCCCCAACTTAATATCTCTACAATTACATTCAATTATCACCCATTCTTCTCCTTTATAAACTATTCATTTTCCAATTAAAACATATTATAAAACAAAAATTACTATTGTACCCCTTATAAACATCCCGTGCATTGTACGGGTCAGAAGGCTAGTTATTAATGAAATGTAATTGTCAACTACGAGTCTGGACCGCACGCACAAACCAAAAAAGAGAGTCCACTTTACAAGTTCAAAGGAGGTTATATCCCAAAAACATCTAACAATATGAGAAGTAGCTCATTAACCTTATAAATTGATAAACTCTCTCTTTTTCAATCAATATGGGATACTTACAATGTGGTAACACTTGGAAGGTCTATTCTTCAACACTCCCCCTTACATGTAAGGTCCCTTTTATCTTTTGTCTGTAACATATACCTTTATATTTATAACAGTAAACCAACTACATAACTCATCCACAACAAGTGGTCTAAAAGTGCCAATGAGAATATCATGCTATAGTCTTTCTAGTTTCTACGCCCTCCATCTCATAACAAAGTAAATTCAAATACATAAATGAGGGCACCACAATATTTCGTCAATCAATTGCTTATGTGGGCCCCCCTTACCAGATAAATTAATTTTATATTGTTGATGGATTTTAAGACGTTACAGTGTTATTACTAAGAACTAACATATGCTTTTTTTTTTCACCATCTTTTCCAATCTTTCACTGGCAGCACCACCATAGCCACCATCATCTCCACCACAATGCAAAACCCTTAACAGCCATCACCATTTATCCGCCTTCCGCCGATCAAACCCACAGAAGCTTCCTCTTCGTCCTCTTCTTCCCTGCGTCCTCTTCTTCTTCCCATAGTCCTCTTCTTCTTCCTCAACAATCGCGAAACAAAAAGACACCCTACTAGAAAAGAGTGTAAATTAGTGCCATATCAACCCTTTAGGAAAAGCCTTTCATCCACGGAGGCATTATGAACTGTCATAGGTGGTGGTGGTACTGTGGAGGAAAAAGTGGTTTCTGGTGTTAAATAAGGGTTTTGAATTAGGGAAAACTTGGAAAGCTATGTCTGAGTTCTGATTTTGGTGTTAGATTAGCATTAGCCCATCGTTTTCCGAGTTATGTCTACGCTAACAATAGTACCCCTAATATTATGACTGTAAAGACGAAATTGCCCCTAATTTACACAAGCTGTAAATTAGCTTGATGAACATGAATTTTCTCATACATAAATTCAATGAAAAGTCGGAAACATATACCATTTATGAACACAATTTTAGGTAACAAAAGATCAAAAGGGGCTTACCTGTTGTAAGTACGCAGCCCAAAATCGATGTTTGGCCCTAAGGTAAGGATCCTTAGGGAGGAGATGCGGGGGATCAGGCCAAGTCTCATCAATATACTCGAGGATGATTGTTGATTCCACAACGGGTAGACCATTGTGCACAAGAATAGGCACTTTCTTATGCACAGGGTTGTGTTGCAACACCAACTCACTTTTGTTTGCTAAATCCTCTTCTATGTATTCAAAATCTATGCCCTTAATATTAAGGGCAAGTTTAGCTCTCAAAACATAAGGACTTGCCCACATTCCATGTAGCTTTACCGAACTCTCTTCCTCCATTATGAGTTTTGTGAATGGGTGTCTTTTTTTTCCTCTTTCTCTCCTAATTCCAAATTAAATTCTAGAAAATGTGTTATACGTAAAGGTTTTTGTAACCTTCATATTTTTTTGTAACCTTCATATTTGACCGTTCTTCAGGAAAGAAATGCCAATTGGTTTAAATCTTCTTTCAATTCAAAATACTAGCCATTCTAGTGGATGTGTGGTAAAGGGTTTATGTAACCTTCATTTTTGACAATTCTTAAGAAAAAGACATTTTAATTGGTTGAAATCTTATCCCAATTCAATTCAAAGTATTATTGATTTATGGTTAACAAATTAAGATCACATGCATTGTATTAATTACGCTAATTTCACCTAATATTCTAACAACAAATATATTTTAAGATTTTTTAAAAAAAAATCACCCACTACTCTTCTCGTTTTAGTAATACAAGCGGAGAGGTATGTGTGTATCATATAATAAATTAGAAGGAAAATAAAAATATTAACCAATGCTCGTGTGAAACTAATAATACAGATAAAATATTTATTAAAAGCATGATAAAGATATAAAAAACAAAACAAAAAAAAGAAGCATATATGAGCAAATTTGGGAAGAGTTTTTTATTTCAAAAAAAAAGGAGTAAACAAGCAAACAAAGAAACTACCTGCGGAGGGATAAGCCGTGGTAAGGCCACACCTCTACAGTCCTCCTCTAAAATACGACTTAAATCTAGTGGAACATTATTAATTAATTCTAAGGGAGAGTCTTGAACAACTCCACGGTTGGCCAACTAATCCGTCGCTCGATTGCCTTCACGATATACATGAGCAACTTTCACATTCCATCTTTCACCATTTAATAGCTTTTGACAGTAAGCAAGTTCATGGATATTTTCACCTCGGGGAATTTTCTGCATATTTAGAGCTTGAACGCAAGCAAGATTGTCGAGCTAAACCTCCAAATTCTCGATTTGCAGATTTTGAGCCATTTCCAGGCCTCGAGTAAGAGCCATAATCTCTGCCCTATAAGCTGTGCAGTAGCTAAAATTTGCGTGGAAGGCTGAGATGAGAGTGCCATTATAATCCCTTATTAAAGCTCCTCCTCCTGCAGTTATGATAGCTAATTTTTTATTAACAAAAAAAAACAATTCTTAATTTTTAACTGTAGGTAAGAGGGGTAATTTTGCAAAATGAGAAAAACATTTTGGAAAAAAGTAAATTTATCACCTAAAAAGCCCTTTTTTCTTTAGGAAAAATTGCTCCCATTAATCTGAACTTTGCCTCGTCCGCCGAAAATAATCCCAACTTTCGTTTATTATCTATTGCACCGAACTTTGGGGGGTATTAATTTTCGTTGCACCCAACTTACCTGCAACCGGTTAATCCGGTCAACATTTGTGTGTTACATTTTTTTTGACACGTGTCACTACATGAATGGTCAAATAAAAAAAAATTCAAAAAAACAAAATTTAAATAAAACAAAATTAAAAAAAAAACAAAATTTAAAAAAAAAAAAAAAACAAAACATAAACCCACCCCTTCCCCCTTAACCACCAGCCCCCCACCCAAACCACCCCATCCACCAGCCCTCCCCCACCCCTTCCACCATACCCCACCTGAAAACACCCCCCACGCAGCCGGAAAATCACCCCCACCCCCGACCACCACTCCCCACCTGCCGAAAACGAAGGGGAAAGGGGCGGAAACGACGAAAACGAAGGGGAAGGGGAAGGGGATTCGGGTCGGAAAACGGCGGGGGAGAAGGGAGGAAATAGGGGAGGGGTTTTCGGGGTGGGGAAAGGGAAAGGGGGAGTTTTGAGGGAAGGGGGAGGGTTGTGCGGCGGTTTCCGGGAGTGAGGGAGGGGTTTTCGGGGGTGGGGGAATGGTTTTCGAGGGTGGGGGAAGGGAAAGGATGGGTTTCGAGGTAGGGGGAAGGCTGGGCGGCGGTTTCCGGCAGCAGGGGAGGGCTTTTTCGAGGGTGGGGGTGATTTTCCGGCGTGGTGGGGGTGGGGGTGTGGTGGCAGCCGCTGGGCGTGGGTGGTTTGGGGTTTTTTTTATTTTTTTGTTTTTGTTTTTTTTTTTTAAAAAAAAAAAAATTAAGCCGCTCATACGCTGACACGTGTCTAGGTAACTTGCTACAACAGGTTAGATGACCTGTTGGGTGCAACGAAAATTAATACCCCCCAAAGTTCGGTGCAATAGATAATAAACGAAAGTTGGGATTATTTTTGGCGGATGAGGCAAAGTTCAGATTAATGGGAGCAATTTTTCCTTTTCTTTATATAGTATTATAGATAAGGACTAATAAATTAATAATCCACCAACAATTATTATTTTTGAATTTTATTACCATCAATCAATCATCAATACTACATACTAAAAGAGTAAAAGACACACCAGCAATGACACGTGTCATCTTCTGGTGTGTCCTTAATTATTATTATTTTTTATATAATAAACTCTATTATTTAATTTCAAAAATAATATTATTTGTTGTACATATTCCATATTAATGTAGTACACAAAGTTTCATACGGCCAGCCACAATATAATTTTTTTTTTTTGAACTTTTAATTCTTCTTATCTCTCTTCTCTATCTCCTCTTTTAATTTCTTCTTCTTTAGTTAGCCACCCATATCACCTCCTTCACCAAGCTATATATCTCCTCTTTCTATCTCCTCTTTTAAAAGATTTGCTAGAGCAGTAGTTGGGGTGTAATTTGAATATTCATAGAAAGTGATCAATCTAAGCTATTACGGAGTACTGTAGTTATTTAACACTATTAATATTACTCGTTGACTATTATTCTTTTTAAACCGAGGAAGTGGTAATGTGGTATATTTCCTAAAAGTAGGGGTCCTAACACGCACTATATGGTTAGCTGTTTGAGAAGAATAATTACAGTTGTATGCTTATTAATGTTTTATGACTATTTACATGTTATTTTGTTGTAATTATTTGCAGACTCTTTGTTTATGATTAAGGTTTACACATTACTTAAATTATATACTCTAACTAAGCTACTACAAAACTACAAGTACAAGTATTTTGTAACTTTTAAATAATTCAATAATGTAAATATTATTTATTAGTAAAAATTAATATTGAAAAAAAAAAAAACTATTACCATTCCACGGTAGGATATATACTCTAACTATGTTACGACAAAACTTTGTAAGATGTAAAAAAAAAATATTAAACTAAAAAAACTTTGGAAGGAAAAAAACCATTACCATTCTACGGCAGGAAATATACTCTAACTAAGCTACTACTGTACAAAACTACAAGTATTCTAAACATCTAAATAATTTAATAATGTAAATAGTACGAATTATGGAGTATTTATTAGCACAAATTATATAAGAAGGAAAAAAAAATTAAAAAAAAAAATTTAAAAAAAAAACTATTATCATTCCTCATAAACTAATCTAGTTAGGTACTAATATCTTCTTACCTTTTTTTTTTTTAATTGGAGACAAATTGGTAATCAAACATTTTGATGGATATAGTTGTCTTCACACTATTCTAATTTACTATTCTAATTCGTAATATTCATTTTAGAACAATAGAGTGGTACAAAGCTAAAGAAAACGAACGATCTACAATTCTAATTTACTAGTATGCTCTATTGAGTCTTGATGAAAAGTACTTAGTTGCTAGTACTATTAGCTAGATTGCTTTGAAACAAAAAATACATACAAGTGAAGGTTAAAAAAGAGGGAAGTTTGTCAGAACATCGTATGATCTCCAATCGGCCCACGGGGGCTGAAGGAATGATCTTCAATTGCCAGTCATTGATGAGATTCAATGATGGCTAATAGTCACGCTCATATCATAGCGGCCTTAAATCATCACCCAGACTTAGGTCACGAAATAGTGACACTTGGCATTCTAACTCTTCACCAAGTATCGCGGCACCTTGGATAGATTTAAATAGATTCATAAGATAAAAAAGTTAGTTAAAATTTATTTTTTCAATCAAATTAGGATAGAATTTTAGAATAAGATGGTTAGTTTAGAGTTTTATTTTCGATAAAATACCAAATAATAAACTTATAATTAGGCCACAAGACAACATCGTATAGTATTTTAACTTTTCGCCAAGTGTCGTACCACGTTGGATAAATATAGATTGACTTTGTAGAAAAAAAAATGTTAATTTAGAATTCTATTTTCAATCAATTAAATTGAATTATAATATAATTTTATCTTAAAATTTCATAAACAACCCGTGCATTGCACGGGGCACAAAACTAATATTATAATATGATTATTCTTATAGAAGTAGTATTTTATTAGTTGTAACATTGCGTGTGTTGTCCTTGCGCGTGATACCCTTATACTATAAAATTTCTTTCTTGAAATCAATAGTGAAATTAATTGAATTAGTATTAAAAAGTGCAATTTTGTTTGATATTTTTAAAATTTAATCACATTTTATCATACTCAATCTCTGAAGTTAACAGGCAATTTCGATTCTTTTACTAATGATGGGTCATGCTCGCGGCGGCGACACTGTCGAGATTGTAGATGTCCATGACAGAAATGAGGGTGTAGTTTGAAGAATCGTGGAAAGTGATCGAGCAATTAGTTAACAAATTTTATTAGTTCAAACAACACTATCAATACTAGAACTCGTATTCGTGTTACATTTTGAGAGTGAAAGAGTTGTAAATTTCTGAAGAAAGAATGTATGTAAAATTTAGTTATAGACCTCTTCATTAAGTTAAGAATGCAAGGGGTCTACTGCATGTATATGTGGGTATGATTTCTTGAACTAAAATTTTCATATCCAATTTTATAACGTACAAAAAATTAATGTAAGTGGTTTTCATGGATAACATAATCAATCAAGATGGTAGATAATTTTGAAAGTCAAAGTTACACGCCATGAAAACAATGGAGGGAGTTTTCATTACAATCTTGATTAATATGTGTTGTTCTACATTAATCGAGTGAAACTAAAGTAAGTATTGAAATATGTATCCCACATTCAAAAAAGATAAAATTGTATTCATTTAAGGCTAAAAGACTACTCGGCGGCTACTCCCCTCAATCCCTTTTAGAGTCATAGCCTGATTATTCATTAATAAAAATATTTCCACCTTATCAAAAATATGCAAATTCAGATAAATAATACACTAGAAAAACCCAAATAAATTGTGAAATCAACAATGAATTGAAACCTTATTAACCCTGGTTAAATCATAAATAGTTTTGTATCAATCACTAAACTTAATAATGATCATTTATCCCTTTAATTGGAGATAGTTCTTCCTCATAGCATGAAGAATCTCAATGACCTTAACACTTGATGGAGTGGCATCTTTAACTTGAGGAACTTCACTGAGTGCCTTGGTCCAAGACGCCAAGAACGGGTACCTTTCTGCAGTGATATGCTTAAAGCCATAGAACTCTTCGACGACATCATAGGTTCCTAAGAAAGAATACAGGACTATGTCTAAGTATCCTGGTTTCGCTTCTTGGAAAGATGGACAGCCATTTGAGAATAACTCGGCTTTGATCAATTCTTCGGCCATATCCATCTTCTTCCAGTACTCCTTCATCTCATCTTCTGTAGGTTTACCTCCGTTTGTCATTGTTTTGCTTAATATCATCATTGTCTGATCATACCATACAATCATTTTTATTGTCAAATATTTAAGAATTTAATACATGTTTGGGTCCAATTTAGTCCAATTGGGCCTAGTCATTAAATGATCCAATTAAAAGCCCAAGGTCAAGGTTCAACTCTCCATTTGTGCTAAAGTCAAGATCAGTCCACAAGACAAGTCAATTGGGCCAAGGCCCACTTCCTCCTTATATGCAAAGGTATAAAAGTCATCAATATCACATTTGTACAGTCATATTCACACAAGCCTCAAACAATTAAATCTCTTGCATAGCTTTCTCTCTCTACACATTGTACTGACTTTAGCATCGGAGGGGCCTTCCTCGGCTACACCCCCGAGGCTAGTTTACGTGTGTTTGCTGTGCAGGAAACCCTCGGCCCAACATCACTTGGACCGAGCCCAGTCTTCACCACCTCACTGGACCTTCGGCAAGGTCCCATTGTTTTCATCCGAAACAATACATACTCCCTCTGTTCAAAATTACTCGTTTCTTATTTCTCAAAAATTAATAATATTAATAAATTATGAGTTACTTTGCATTTAGGAATAAGTAAGTGATCCAACTCTTGATCATGAATGAATTAAATAGGTTGACACATACCAGCATATATTTAACCAATCAAAATAAGTGGAACACAAATGACAAATGAAAAGTGACACATTTAACTACGTAGTACTATAAATGAAATGTCGTGACCATACGTACCATCAAGTACTACGGTGAGCACAACACTTAAGTTACAGAAGATCATCAAAGAGTAAGGGGCTTACCTCTTGTAAGTACGCAGCCCAAAATCGATGTTTGGCTCTAAGGTAGGGATCCTTAGGGAGGAGATGCGGGGGATCAGACCAAGTCTCATCAATATATTCGAGGATGATCATTGATTCCGCGATGGGTAGACCATTGTGCACAAGAACAGGCACTTTCTTATGCACAGGGTTGTGTTGCAACACCAACTCACTTTTGTTTGCTAAATCCTCTTCTATGTATTCAAAATCTATGCCCTTAATATTAAGGGCAAGTTTAGCTCTCAAAACATAAGGACTTGCCCACATTCCATGTAGCTTTACCGAACTCTCTTCCTCCATTATGAGTTTTGTGAATGTGTGCCTTTTTTTTTCTTCTTTCTCTCCTAATTCCAAATTAAATTCTAGAGGATGTGTTATATATAAAGGTTTTTGTAACCTTCATAGTTTTTTGTAACCTTCATATTTGACCATTCTTAAGGAAAGAAATGCCAATTGGTTTAAATCTTCTTTCAATACAAAGTACTAGCCATTCTAGTGGATGTGTGGTAAAGGTTTATGTAACCTTCATTTTTGACAATTCTTAAGAAAAATAAATTCTAATTGGTTGAATTCTTATCCCAATTCAATTCAAAGTATTATTGATTTATGGTTATAAAATTAAGATCACATACATTGTATTATACATATATATATACTTATGCTAATTAAGATCACACTAATAAATGATAACCTACATTGAACTATGAATTAAACAACATTAAACAGATACTATATCATAATTTTGATTAAAATAAAAATATTTAAAATTACAAAATATACATAATTCTTATTTATTCATGTATAATAGCAATTTATTTTAAAATTGTACAAATGAAAAATAGACTTTATATACACCGTGCATCGCACGGGTTCTAACCTAGTATTCTAACAAAAAATATATTTTAGGATTTTTTTTGGGAAATCACCAACTATTCTTCTCGTTTTAGTAATAAGGACTAATAATCCACCAACAATTATTATTTTTGAATTTACCATAATCTATGTAGGAAAACGCAAGGACTTGCCCATAATCCATGTAGCTTTACTGAACGCTCTTCCTCCATTACAACTATGGCTCGGATGTGCGTCTTTCTTCCTCTTTCTCACCCAACTCCTCTTAAAGATTTGCAAGAGCAGGCTGGGGTGTAGTTATCAAATGGCACTAGTTCAAACAACGCTATCAATATCATAACTCGCATTCGTGTTAAATATAAAGAATGAAGGTTATGGGCGTGTTGCACCATAAGGTTTGAATCACACAATAGATTTCGAATTTTGGGGGGTGGGGGGATACTGTAATTAGTTCAAAATGTCTATCACGTTATGGATCGGATGAATTGCTGAGATATGGATGAAGCTGAAGACAGAATGAATCCTAAGTAGTGATTCTGACTTTTCAAAATACAAAACCCTAATCTATGGACATAGGATTGTCACATGCCAACACAGCTCAATCTTGTATAATGAGTCCGGCTAATTGCAGCACCTCTTCATCAAGGTAGTACTTGAGCTGTAGGCCTGTAGCCGTAAGTCCATTATCGTAAACAAACCAAGAAAAACAATGATACCATTGTCATGGGTATGAATGATGCAAAATGCAAACCAAGAAAAACAATGATACCATGGCGGAGTATATGCTTTAATAATTAATAATTTGATAAACCATCATTCAAAAAGCAAACAATCACCTCAATGTAGTAATAGGCACAAGTACGGACCGTAAACAGGGTTCTTCCTAAGTCATCATCATCTTCTCTTAAAAACAAAATTTCTTCTGAGGAAACTAAGACAAAAAAAATTCACAGCCACTCTAGTTCTTGGAAGCCTTTTCTTTAGTCTTCTGAATCTTCAATACCTTCTTCACGATCTTCTGCTCTTCAATTAAGAAAGCTCGGATGATTCTGAAGACACAATGAGCAAAAGAAGGAATTTGCATTAAAACTGGATGGTATGAAACAATGGGGTGAGCTAGATTGCAGAAGTGATAAGCATAATAGAGTATGAGAACATAGTCAACAAACCTTTCACGGACAGCACTGCCAGATAGAACACCTCCATAAGGACGGTTGACAGTACGCCTGTTCCTGGGCAATCGGCTCCTCTTGTACTCAGTAGGCCTCAAATGAGGAATCTGCAAAACAATAACCAAGGAATCAGTAAAAACATGTCCTGAGAATGAATATAATACAAGGACAAACAACAAGTACTTTAGCAGATGAAATCAGTGAAACAGACATTGTCAAATGAAATCCTGAGCATATAAGATACATCAAAAATTACACACTACATGGGAAATTTTTCTTGTTCACTCTGAAGAAGCAATGAAAGCAGCTAAATTAGGGTCCTTTTACCTTGAAAACTAGTTTAAAGTGGAACATAAATGAAGGAACAATGACTAATTACATTTGTATATAATTAGGATCCTTTTACCTTGAAAACCAGTTTAAAGTGGAACATAAATGAAGGAACAATGACTAATTACATTTGTATATACACATCCCAGTGACAAGATTTTAAATATTCACCAGGACACAAGTCAGACAACCAAGCCTAAAATATGAGTAGCAAGTAGCAACATATAGTCTTAAGATCCTCATACATGTAACATAATTCCTAAAAGAATCGCACAGTGAAGCATTCAATACTGACTTGACCAAAATAAAGTATCTCTAAAGGTGAACAAGTTTGGAAATCCCACATTTTAGTCCAAACAAACCCATAAACACATAGCAATGGCATAATCAAACTGTATCCGAAGACCGTGTCAATTAGGCTAGAGCCAATATCTACCCATAATCCCAAGTTAAACATTTTAACCAAAATCACAATGCTAGGATAACAAATTCAATACTGACTTTACTAAAATAAAGTATCTCTAAAGGTGAGCAAGTTTGGAAATCCCACATTTTAGTCCAAACAAACCCATAAACACAGAGCAATGGCATAATCAAACTGTATCCGAAGACCGTGTCAATTAGGCTAGAGCTAATATCTACCCATAATCCCAAGTTAAAACAATTTAACCAAAATCACAATGCTAGGATAACAAGTCAAAATCATCAAGCGGTAGCAATCCCAGCAATCAAGCAACACAGTTCTTTTAATATACCTCAGTCCTCAATACATAAATGAATATGATGCCTTCAATTTAGGCTTACTTCAGTGAAATGCACAATATGAACTATACCACTTCACCTAAATGTTGTGAGCACTATAGTATATGCCACTTTCTAAAACAGCCACAGAAATCCTTCGCTATACAAACATTCACAGCTTCACCCCATATAAATTAACAATTGGAATTTGGAACTTCTATTAGAGGTTCATATAAGTAGTAGGGTATAGTTCAAATGTTATCTAACAAACTAAGACTAAAATGTTCTCAATTCTACCGTAACAGAAGTAGTAAGAAATTGAAGATGGAGATATAACTCATATAAGATACAATTTCAATCCCAGATTAACACCGGCAACAAAAACAATTCACGGAATAAGTATTGACACAGCTTCCTACAACAACTTCTATCAGCAACACAACTATGAGCAATAATCACATAAATGCCTTCCCTCAGCTTACAAATCCATCACAGAATCATCAAATGATCAATTCATTGCTTAACATAATAAACTATTTAGTTGATAACAGTTGCAATGTTAGTCTTTCAATCATAACCAGAATTCAAACAAACACAATACCACATTCCACTAGTATCAACCAATAACAAGATCATACAACATACTCCATCATGTTTCGCCATCATACTACTAATTCAAATTACACTATCAATGCGACTAATGGTGCCAAATTCAGAAAGTGCATAAACAGATAATCAACAATCTGCATTTGCAAGATGAATCAGAAAAACAAAGAAAAAGAGACATACTCCTTGAATTCTCTTTCCAGTAACAGGGCACTTTGGACCACTAGCTCTCTTCTTTGTAGTCTGGTAAACCAACTTTCCACCTATTAATCAAAATCCCAATAATCATAATCCCAATAATCAAAAAATCAAACCAAACAAAAACTAACAAATCAAAATCAATTCAGCATAACCCCACAATTATAATCAAAACCCAGTAATCAAAAAATCAATCAAATCAAAAAGATTATAACTTTACTTCAACATCATGCAGCATTACAATCAAAACCCAGAAATGAACACAAGAACCCCATGAAATGGGGAAAATTGAAAAGAGAGGAGAGAGAAAGAGCGAAAACCAGGGGTTTTGACGATGCGATGTTGGTTGGATTTGGTGGCATAGCTATGGCGTTTACGGTAAGTGAGACGCTGCGCCATTGATGAGTTGTTTAGTTTCTCTCTCCTCCTCTTCTGCGTCTCACACTCTCTCTCTCTCTCTCTCTCTCTCTCTCTCTCTTACTCCAACGGCAGCAGAGGTTATGATGGGTTTGAGGAGGCGAAGAAATTAAAGCCCTAATCTGTTTGTGGAAAACCTAGATCTAACGGTTTGTGTTGTCAAACCCTTTTTGACGAAATAGATGTTGCCACGTTATCTCCTTTTTATTTGGTTTTTGTTTTTTTTTTGGTAATTATAGAGGGATCTTTTACAACTTACAATTCTTAAATTGAAATTCACAAATATGTTTTCCTCAATAAAAAAAAAATTAAAAAAAAAAATAATCACAAATATGTGCTCAATCACATTATTAGAGCACTACCAATGGTGAGCTAAAAATTTGCTCATGGGCATTTTGGGTGGGCATAAAATTTGCTCATGCATTACAATGGTGAGCAAATGAGAAAAAGCTAAAAAATGCTCATGAGCATTTCTGAAAATGCCCAAGACTTGAGCATTTTTGAAGATGAATAGTGCTCTGGTGGGCCCCACAATTTGCAATAGTTATATTTTTTGTAACGCAAATTCTGAAATAAATATTTATTAAAAAAAAAAATTAAAATTACCAACGGTCATAAAATTTAATTCTCTATAAATAGACATGCATTTTGGTATATTTTGGTATAATTTCATAAATACCATAAATCCTCCATATTCTTTATTTTAACGATAAAAACGACACAAATAAAAAAAAAGTTACACAAATTTAGACTAGTTTTTATTTATTTGGAGTAATATTGTTAAAATATAAATGAAATTAATAAATAAAGAAGTGTTGTGTAGGAGAGAGAAAGTAATAGTGGGGTATTGAAAAAGTAAGAGAGAGAGAGTAGTGGGCAAGCATTTTTTTTTTTTGCTCACCATTAGGAGAGAAATTGTGAAAAAAATTTACCCATGGGAAAAACAGATTTGTTGAGAGAGAAAGTGGGTAGAGAGATAGTGGGTAGGCATTTTTTTTGCTCACCATTGAGAGTGGTCTTAGTCACTTCACAAAAACTCTTTAACTAATTAATAATAATTAAATAGGGTCACCTTAACGAAAGAGGCTTATCGTAATATTTAAATGGGATTACTCTAACAAGTGGGATTACCTCTTTACAAATAATGGTTAAAACAAAAGCAAAGAGGTTGCATCACTTTCTTACATTAGTTAGTACATGGCTAAATTGAGGTTGCTCTTATATAGGGATGTCAGTGAGGCGGGTCAAGTAGGAGACTCGCCCCAGTGGGGCGGGGATGAGTCTTGGTTTGGTGGGTGGTGGGGCAGAGATGGGGATAAAAATCATACCCGCCATGGGTGATGGGGCAGGGGTGGATTTTACATTGTACCCGCCACAACCCCGCCCCGCTCCACCCGCCCCACTTCGTACCCGTCTTATCCTCATTTCACACCCACATCTATATATTTTATAAAACAAAATTATATACTTTTATACTATTATATATATATATATATATATATAATATGTAAAATAAAATAGTAGATATAATAATTTGTAATACACTAATTTTATAACTAAAAAAATGTGTAATCATATAACTAATATATAAAGCTAAACTTTTAGGCAGGTCACGAAATAGTGACACTTGGCATTCTAACTTTTCATCAAGTGTCGCGCCACCTTGGATAGATTTAAGTAGATTCATAAGATAAAAAATTAGTTAGAAATTCTTTTTTCAATCAAATTAGGATAGAATTTTAGAATAAGATGGTTAGTTTAGAGTTTTATTTTCGATAAAATACCAAATACTCCGTAATAAACTTATAATTAGGCCACAAGACAACATCGTATAGCATTTTAACTTTTCGCTAAGTGTCCTACCACGTTGGATAAATATGGATAGACTTTGTAGAAAAAAAAAAGTTAATTTAGAATTCTATCTTCAATCAATTAAATTGAATTATAATATAATTTTATCTTAAAATTCCATAAACAACCCGGGCATCGCACGGAGCACCAAACTAGTATTAATAATAATTTTATTTGTTGTAATTTATACGTAGTATTAAATATGTTGGATTATGTATTGGGAGGTGGGTCTTAGGTGAGGATTAGGCGGGTCTTAGGTGGGGATTAAGTGGGGGATGGATATCCAAGTACTGGGGGGTGGGGCGGGGATGGTTTTGGAATTGTACCCGCTGGGGCGGGGATGGGGATGAATTTTGGACCCGCCGTGGGGATGGGGACGGGGATGAGATGAAAATTTTAGGTGGGGATGGGGATGGGAAGGCTAACATCCGGCCCGATCCGCCCCATTGACATCCCTACTCTTATAGGCATAAGAAGGTTAATATGATAAAGGGTCTTTTCAATAGTTCTCTGTAGTGTCTTGGGTATCGATTAGATTTTGATTTGCCTAAATCAAATTCTTCAAAACTTGCCTTTCATAAATATAATGTCACAATCATATGTTACGACTTACGATAAGCCTTTTAAAAAAGTATTGACTAAATCTTGTCAAAATATAAATTTATACTAATATATTAAAAGACGTTACTAAGAACGTCTCTGTACCACATAAACCACGCCACGTCACCTATTTCATTTCTCGAATATTGCTTCATATAAAAAAATGATGATAAGGGAATTTGAACACTCAACCTTTTATAAGAAAAATAGTTAGTTAACCATCTAAACCAATCATAAGCTATGTTACAAAAATGAAAATAAATGTATATACTTGATAATCACAAGGTCTAATTAAAGTAGCAACCGGTGCAACGCCCGAGCTACACAGTAGTTTATAATTATTATTCGAAAACGTATAGACATGACTTTTATTGTAGGAAAATTTGCCAAAAAAAAAACCTTTAATTTTAAATGCCTCATTTTGCAAGAAAAAACCTTTAAAAACATTCTTTGTTAAAAAAAACCACCACGATGACTGTTTTTGTATAATGAAACCTAGACTCTCTTTTCCAGCATTGACTCCCACTTTCAAGGCGTCGACCCATTACTTTCCATTGTTACCGGTCACTTGGGTTCATTAAAAGTGAATGACTCTTAAAGTTCGGATTACTAAAAAATAATTCATTGTTGGGATTATTTTGAGCGAACGGGCAAAAGTTGAGATTATTTTTCAATTTTTCCTAATAATAATAACAACAACAACAACAACAATAATAATAATAGTGTTTTGGTTATTTTTTCATATTAATCAAAAGAAAATTTTAGATTATAACACCCGAAAAAAAAAACTCGAAAATGGTTTTTAACACCAAAAAAAAAATTATTTTAACACCAAATATTTATTAAGAAATTTGATTTTACCACCACTTAACAGATTGCGTCCAAGAATCCGTTAGATAGGATCCATGCTGTCACGTGTTCTTATAATATTGGTTTTCCAAAAAAAAAAAAGTAAAAAAAAAAAAAAAATCTATAGCCACCCAAACACCACCACCACCAACACCGCATCCCCACTCCACACGCACGGCTTCAACCTGTCGGCAGTGTAACGCACCCCTTCCCCAGCCCAGACCACCGGAACCCACCCTCCTCCACAGTCGCGACCATCAGAACTCATCCCCTTCCCTTCTCGCACCCGTAAAACGAGACTCTAAATTTTAAAACGAACATGAAATTTGTCGGTTTTGGCCGAAATATGCCAGTTTTGGGGCTAAGTAGCCTAAAGTGGCCGATTTTGGCCCCTATGGCCAAAACCGTGGTCAATATTTGGCGAAGGGGGACTGCGATATGGCGCTGGTGCGGCAGATTTGGCTGCGGGAAAATGAGTGGTTAGGTTTCGATGGGGCCGGGTTAGGTCAGGAGAGGTTACGATGCTAGCGATGGAGCGAGGGCCAGCAGTTAAGCTTGGTTATGGCGGAGAACATGCCGGTGGTGGTGGCAGCAGGGGTGGCTGGGTAGCTTAAGGTTTTTTTTATTTAATTTTTCTTTTTTTGTTGTTTTTAATGTTGTTGACCACACACAAAGCGACACGTGGCATTGTAGACCCCACTTTATGGATTCTCGGATTGAATTTGTTAAGTGGTGGTAATTTTTTTTTCTTGGTGTTAAAATCTAAAATTTCATACTAACAAGGAGAATTTTTAAATTACCACCCTAAAATTTATTCATTTTAAAAATAACCATCTGTTTATTTTTGTTAAAAAAAAAAATTATCACCCCTTAAATTAAATAATTACTTAGATTACCACCTTTTTCAAAATTTTGGTGGGTTTTCCGTCTATAGGTCCCATCTAATGGCTACTAATCGCTATTTTGACCCTTTTGACTGATTTTCCCCCGATTTTTCTCTTTAAAATAGCTCTCCCATCTTCAATTCGCATTTCTTTCACAAAATTCCACTATAATTTGGGTAAATAGGTAGATTTGGGGGTTATATGAAATTAGGGTTCATGCTTCAATTGAATTGGGGGTTTTCTCAAATTAGGATTCCTATTTTAATTGAATTGGGGGTTTTCTTAAATTAGGGTTCCTATTTTAATTGAATTGGGGGTTTTCTTAAATTAGGGTTCCTATTTTAATTGAATTGGGGGTTTTCTTAAATTAGGGTTCCTATTTTAATTGAATTGGGGGTCTTTTGAAGTTAGGGTTCTTACTCAATTAAATTGGTGTTGTTAGGAAATTAGGATTCCTTCCTCTTTCCCCTTTGCTTGAAAGTGTTTTCGTTGAGTGCGGCTCTTTCCTCTACCTCCCATGGTGTTTCAGGTAAGAAGGAGGAGAGAGAAAGTGACTCCTTTGTAATCAACTACCCAACAGTTACTCCTTTGCAGAGCAAATAAAAAATTAGGGTTTTAGTTTACTAATTTTAAGAGTTGTTGAGAATTTATGAAGAAAGAAGGAGAAGAAAGCGGATTGTTCAGAAAATTAATGAAGAAATTGAATGAGGAAGGGGTTTGGTTGAGTTCAATAACATAGAGTGAGAGCCTGTTCTCATACGTTTATTTTCAGTTCAATTCAGTTCAGCTCCTAATTTCTTTTTCTTATAAAATATTCATTTCAGTTCAGTTCAGTTCTAATAAGTTCAGTTCAGCTAAGTTCAGTCAATGAGAACAAGCCCCGAGCGAGAATGAAGTCGGGATAAATGAAAAAAAGAGGAGGAAATTAAGGTAGGTGCGTCCTACAGTAGAGAAATCTACCGAAATTTTGAAATAGGTGGCAATTTAAGTAATACTTTAATTTAAGAAGTGGTAATTTAAAATAAATAAATAAATAGCCGTATTACTTTAATCTGAATAATATATTTTGGATGGTAATTAATTTTTTTTTCTAATTATAGTAATATTTTATTTATTAATTTTTAATGGGAGATTTTTTTTTTTTTTTTTTGGTGAAGTTTAATGGGAGATCTTTAAGCTTGTTGGCAATCTTGGCATCACAAAAGTTCTAAGAATGAAAATGCAATACTATTATTCAAAGTAATCGTGGGCACAAAAAATTGAACTCAAATAAGGTCAAATACTCTCGTACCCAGTACTGTAGTATTCAGAATCATTCGATTATACTCTCATAATTTACGCGATATATTATTCTTTTTATTAGCAAAAAAATTCTTAATTTTCTACTAAATCGTAAACCCTAAACCCCTAATATTTTTGATTCGAATCAGTAGATCATTCAATTATGGCATTTCCAGCAACAATTCGATTTACCCCATTAAAATTCCCAGTTCAATTTCAACTAATTTCACCTAAATCATCTCAATCAACTCTTTTCTCAAAAACCCTTAATTTCAAGCATTTCAGAGTTAATGCTTCTACCTCGGTCAGTTCTTCTAATGTATCCGTTGCTAATAAGCCCTCTACTCTAAAAAAGGTAAGTTTTTAAATGGAAATTTGTCTATTTTTCTATTAAATTTTGTAAAATTATGTCATTTATAAGGAGTTCTGGGTTTATTTATTATGATAACATTGTATTTATAAGTTGTTGAATTATGGAAGTGGGTATAGAATTACTTTCTGATTTTCATTAGTTTTTTTGTTGAATTTGTTTTCAGAATGATTATTGGCAATGGAAGTTCAGTGATAAATCAATCAATATATATTATGAGGAACATGAAAAGGAGGGTTCTCAGCCTAGTAAGAATATGCTTATGATACCCACAATTTCTGATGTTAGTACAATGGAAGAATGGAATTTGGTGGTATCAGAAATTTTGGAGCAGGATGTTGACAAAAATTTTGAGGTTACTCTTGTTGATTGGCCTGGTCTCGGGAACTCGGACCGGCCGAAATTAGATTATACTGCGGATGTCATGGAGAAGTTCCTGGCTGATCTGATTAATTCTCCTGTCAGTCCTGTGTTTAAACCAGGTGTGCTCAAATGGCTATCTCATACAGTTATGAACAGTTCATATTCATAGGTTACGAGTTGATTATGTGTGTTATAAATTTTGGCTGTAGAATGTATGTGTGTGTTTGTGTGTTTTTGAAGTATGACGACTTGATGAGATTGGCTGCATAATATTGGTTTTGTCATATATTATACTTCGTAAGTTATAACCATCTATTATGTGATTTGCATTGTGCTAAATGCTGTGATAGATGGACAAGTACTGAAGACATCCATATCTATGGGCTGTACTCAGTTATCTCTCTAAACATTTTGTGCTTATGGTCTGTTTCGAACCTTCAAAGTATCATACTATCATACCCTTGTCGTAGTGTTTGTTTAGAAAACAAGTTCTTTGGTAATGAAGGGTGAAGACTGATGAGCTCTTGTAACTTGTATAATTTTGTTGCTAAAGCTCCTGATTTCGCATTGTAAAATACTCTGACTTTACAATGATGAGGTTTCTATCCATGTTGTGTACTATCCTTTTTCAGTCAGTGGTCACATCATAAATTTGTTCTGCTTTAAATATTGCAACGACTGTAAAATTATTTTAGTAATCTATATTAATATTCTTTCTAGTAGCTAGTTTGCCTGCTTTGGGAGTATCAATACTGTTTGCTGAAACATAAGTATATTAAAGTGAGGTGAGGTGAAGATAAAAAAAAATTCTTGTAGCTATTATATACTTAGTGGTTGATAGTTTACATGGAGGAATAGAAGGGAATTTAGGTAAATTGAGGGGAAAGGAATCACAAAGGGGATTTCTTTGTGTTTGGTTGAATCCTATTAAATTCCCTTGTAAAGTTGTAAGATCTTAAGATGCTTTACAAGGGAATTAAGTAGGATTCAAACCCTTTTTTCCACCTCTTTCCCTCATGTTCCTCACACCATCCATATCACCTTCATTTCAACTTCCATCTCTCCTCCCTCTCTCCATCCATTACTTCATGTATTGTCCATGGCCTTGTCTCCATGATGGTCTCCTATTTGCATTAACATTGGTAGTGCGGCACCTCACATAGGAAGGATTTCTTCATCCTTCGAAGTAGACTTAAGATTCCACTCTCTGCCTATTTGGATTAATTGTTTGTTTGTTGCCACTATTTGGCACATTTGGGATAATGACAAAGGGTAGTAAGTTAATAATTAAAAATGTGCTATTAGCTAAGTAGTATAAAAAGGAAGAGAGGGGTAGAAGGAAGATAGGCAGAATTTGGTGCGAACCTTTTGGAGAGTTATGGTCTAAAGCCATTATTGGAGAGTTGTGAGCTAAACTCACTATTGAAGATTAATAGCCTTAAGCTATTAGCCTATCTTTTGTAACCCTTTCACCATTATCAATCAAGCTTAAAGCTTTCATCTTTATTAATTTGTTAGTTAAATCAGAAATTCTTGTTGTTACATTGGTTTTGCTGTGTGACCGAACTCAGTCCATTACAGATACTTAATAACTATCAATTACATAGTAAAAATGATACTTGAATGTCTATGACTTCGTAGTTTATACTAGCCTCATGATGGAATTTTATTATGTTTAACTTTTCATTTCATCCCGTTTCTGCCGTAGGCTCTATTAAAATATTAGTCTCTAATAGAATAACATACTTTATATTAGTCTCTAATACTCTATATTTAGTCTTTAATACTCTATATTTCACTTGGACATTCAATTCCCATGAACCACATTTTCTAGAGAAATGAATATGGAGAGCTACAAAGGAGAGAGTTGTGTGAGAAGTCAAACTGAAATGTGTATGTATGTTTTCACATCAATGCATCATGAAAAGCACTTCTAAACGTCTTCAACAGTCAATAATCGTTTCATAAACCCCTGGTCCCTGCACTCATGTCCACTTTTATGATAAGGTTCCCATGAAAATATTTTGAGTCTGCATGTTTGTCACTTGAATGTGCAACTGTATCCAACTCTTTACTTTTGTCAAGATAATATACTCTAGAGGATGTAATTCATTATCATGGTATGATGTGATTGATATCAGTATACTGCCCTACTTGTTGGTGTTACGGAAACTTTAGGATGGCTCATCTGCATCAATGATTCTAAGCCTAATTCTGAACAATCTCTATTGTTCATGTTGTTGTTTTTGCGCTTCTCACTTTGATTGCTAGTAAGTGGTAATACAGTAATACGTACTTCTTTGTCTTCTTAAAATGTTCTTGCTGTTGTTTTTGCTCATGTCCTAGACGTGTACACTTTTTCCTTAAGTACAAGAGATTTATATATCATGCATATTGTTTATGTCGTTCTCTTTGCTTGAACTGCTGATAGCTGCTAAATGTTTGCCTGTACTCTATTGCTTCCATCTGTTCATTTTCTTTTTTTCTTTCCTGAAATTGATAGTATTATATCCTAGATACGGAGTATATGCTATATATTTGAGCATTCCTTCATGGAAGTTTGAGCGTGCCTTGGCTTGCTTTCCATTTATCCCTCGAGAAAGTAGTGTGTTTGCATCCATTAGGAAATTAGTCTCTGATAACAAGGTTTCTTACTCCTGAATTAAATCTCATTGACAAACTATACTAATATTGACGTTCCCTCTACTTATCAAAATAGATAGAACTGATATAATTTTTTTTATTTTTTATTTTTTTTTATTTTTAACACCAGATATATATTACAGTGGAAGATAGGCAGCCCATTCCTCTGGGATATAATAGCCATTTCATGGGCTCGATTAAGGGTAGATTACTAATCTTAGAGATGCAGCAAACTGAAGATATACTACATAAAAACCTAATGTCCTTTATAATATTTGCTAAATCCAATAGGTGAAGTCGTGCTTCTGAAGGCTCTGGATGAGCTGCAAACTATCTGTTAGGCCGTTGCCCCTGGAATACCTTATTATGAGGAACTGAGCAGACCTTGCTGAATTGCAAATCCTTCAGCTTGCAGTGCCAAGGAAGGACAAACTCTTGACCCACCAAGCCACCAGCATCAAGCTTATGTCACACTAGTGGCACTGCCATAAAACTCAATCACACCATGAATCAGTTTAAAATTGTTGCCTCTGTCCATAGGCTTTGAAGAAAATTGCCGTTTGGGGGGGGGGGGGGGGAGTGGGGGGTGGCTTTGGGTTGTTGAATGTATGGAGTCTAAGGGTGATAATTGTCGTTCTCTTGCTTGAATACATCCCTTGTGAAGCCATATAGACCCCAAATAGCAACAAATTGAAAAGCACGCATGTTATGAGATTGTCTTCTTTCTATATATACGTGGAAATTTTATCTTCTTAGAACAGAGGTAAATGGGAGCATTTCCTTTAGACTTTGTTGGCAATTTAACAGCATCACCAAATAAAAAGCATCAATACCTTGGCATAAATTAGAATTTGATATTTGAAGACGGCTGTGGATAGTTGCCTTTTGCCCTTCTCTGTGAAAGAACTGTATATTCTCGTTTTCTTCTATTATGTGGGGCTGTTGGCCTTGTTAATCCTTGTGCTATGTGGGCTACATTTAGTATGGCCTACTCTGGCCGACCATTTTTTCTTTTATAAAAATTGGTTTCATCATTTTGATTGTTTCTTCCTCCATTCCCCAAATATTGTAACTTGGGGATGGGGCATGGATTTTAAGAAGAGGAGATAGAAAAGCATAAAGATAGGAACCCATGTGATGATGAGAACATGTGCAAATAGGGAATGTTGCAATTTTTGTGAAACTTACTAAAATGGTAATTAATTGTTGCAATATTTGTGGAACGGAGGAAGTATTTGTTATCTCAGCATTACATTTATATTGTTTGATATAAGCTGCTAGTATTTTTAGTCTCTGATAGTGTGTTTTGTGTGGAATTATTGCTGTTGTGGCTTTTCCCTACATTTTTGAAGCTGATTGCTGCTAATGTCTTAGGCTACAAGCCTTCCTCTGAACTTCTTCTATTTATGCATTGAGGTTCTATTTGTTAAAGAGTACTAATTTTATCGTCATCAAAACTTTATGTGCCTACTTATATTTCTTATGCTTTTCTGGTACAAAGACAGGCAATGATTTGGTGGTTGTTGGGGGTGGACATGCTGCCACTATGACAGTCCTAGCTGCTAAGAAGGGTTTAGTGAAGCCAGCAGCCATCATAGCTGTAGCTCCAACCTGGGCTGGTCCTCTTCCAATCGTCTTCGGACGTGATACCAATATGGAATCCAGGTACTAAATGCTGAATAATTCTCCGAAACATCTCACAGATTCTAAAAATGTTGTCAAATGGTCACTACAAGGATTGTAATATGGCTAATATCATATATGCAGTTGACATCTACATATTTGCTGAAAGTTACATTAGTTTTTTTCCCCTCAAAAAAATGTGTCAATTTTTAGTCTTACCTTCTCTTAAGGTGTTCATCCCCTCTGTTTCTTTTGATCTTTACCTTTCTGTAGTTCTTCCTTTGTGCAAAATATTTTGTAGACACAATAATTTATGAATAGGGTTAGGAGGGTTATTCATTTTTCATATTTCTTAGACATTTGCATATTAGATATTTAGATGTAAGGTATGGTCTCTCTGACATTAAATGATCAATTTGATGCTTAAATAATTGAAGCACAAGTGGCTATCGTTATCTTTTACAATGATCATCCTAAGTTTATATGTATTTATCCTGTCGTCCCTGAATGAAGGCCCCACATGGTCGGGACTCATTAGTATTAATGGCAATTTTTCATATTATCTCACTCGTCTAAGTTTCACATCATCGCCCACCCACCCCCCCCCCCCTTTTTTTTTTTTTTGTTGTTTGGGGGGTGGGGGTTCCTTTTGTAAAAATTGTCTCGCTTAGACGCTTATTATGCGTTAGGGAATTTTCCTTTCTTTAGATCTTTACTTTTCACGTGTAAAATAATAGAGACAACTTTTTTTCCATGAGATAAGGGGTACTAGAGGTTGGCAGTGTGAGGGTATACATTTACAATGTTCCTTAAGACATTTTGAGTACTAGATGTTAGGTATGGTCTCTCTTAATGTTAAATGATCAACTTGATGTTTGAAAAATCAGAGTATAAGTATCTATCAGCATTTGTTATCATTTATAATCTTAAGTATTCATGCAGTACTCTTGTAGACCCTTAGTATATGCTATATTTGACCGGGATTCATTGACAGAAATAGAGTTAATGACATAATTAATCTATCACGTGAAATGATCAACTTGATGTTTGAAAAATTAGAGCATAAGTATCTATCAGCATTTTTTATCATTTATAATTATATTCTTAAGTTTTCATGCAGTGCTCTTGTAGACCCTTGGTATATCACTCATTTGACGGGGACAATGACATATAAATATATAATTGCCTATCACCATTCAAGTTTTCACATCATCATCGTATAGATATATTATTTAATTTTTGGGTGAATATATATGTATATGATTAAGGATAATATAGGAAGGTTAAGATTTTACCTTGCTTAATCTAAAAATGGTATATTGTTTGGTACAGACGTACAGTATGTAACAGAAACGTGACCTTTCAATTAAAGTCATGGGTATTGTATATTGTGTTACATTAAACCATAGTGCAGCTCCTGATCTTTCATGCATTGTACAATCTATTCTCTCTTCAACTCTGGACTTAGGTCTGGTTTTCTTTTAAAATTGTAGGTATGGGCTTCTCAGGGGAACCTTAAGGGCCCCAGCTTTGGGTTGGATGATGTATAATGTTCTTGTCAGTAACGAAAATGCAATTCAATCCCAGTACAAGTCTCATGTTTATGCCGATCCTGCAAATGTTACCCCAGAAATTGTGCAGAGCAGATATGCGTTGACAAAGAAGGAAGGAGCTCGATATGTACCTGCTGCTTTCTTGACAGGCCTCCTAGATCCTGTCAAATCTCGAGAAGAATTTCTTGATATTTTTGCATCCATGGAGGGTAACATTCCTGTTCTAGTAGTCTCAACTTCCGGTGCTCCTAAGAGGTCAAAGGCTGAGATGGAAGCTCTCCGAGGAGCTAAAGGGGTCACTAAGTTTGTTGAAGTACCCGGTGCTCTTTTGCCTCAAGAAGAGTACCCCAAGGCTGTTGCGGAGGAAATTCAGAAATTCTTGCTAGAGATTTAAAAACCGAAGATGATCTGAAACTTTATTTTAGAGTACGGTCAAGATTCAAGAAGGGGTATATGTAAAATTATGTTTATTTTATTTTATTTTATCCAGTATTATAATCAATTAATTATACACCATTGTATGTACTTCGTATAAGTGTATACCAGTGTAAGAATATACAAGTACAAAGTAAAAGTAGATCGAAATGAAATTAAATTGTTTTTAATAAACTAGTATACTCCGTATGGGTATATGTATTTTCGGTTCATCCATCATTGGACTAATTATAAAAGACTGGCCATTATTAGAAATGTGGCTTTTGGGTTCACCCATCAATCCATCATATATATATATATATATATATATATATATATATATATATATATATATATATATATATATATATATAGGTGTTTAGAGAGCTATAAGAGCGGGTGATGAGAATTGATCCCAACATCTCTTGGAATCGAGAGGGGAGCTCTAACTACTTGAGCTATCCCTCACTCTCTCAATCCAACATGTATTACAAATGTTATGTTTGGATTCTTCTCAAATGTTATTAATTATTGTTTAAATTTTTTTTGTTAATATATGATTACGGATGTTAATGGTCAAAATTGTGTATCGACATATGTTTTAAACATGTTTTAAACAAATTGTTGTATTTTAAGTAATTAGACGAAGTATTATATTGCCTAGTAAGCTTTGTTAAAGCAGTTATGCCATGATGGTTGTGGTGAGATGATATACCATGCACAAATAGTAAACATTACTAGTGGCTGTTTGGTTGCAATAAAAATTCATGGGAAGTAAGAATTGCTAAGAAGCGTGATAAGATGAAAATGTTTGGTTAACAAATAAACACTTTATATATGAAAATACGAAGTATATGAAATTATCGGTGTATAGCATCATACAATAGTGGTTGAAAAAGGTTATGAAAACTTGAAATCATAGATAATGGCCATATACAATAGGTAAGGTTCAAAGGTATTAGTTATTGCTCGTATAAGCTTAAAAAAAATAATAAATAGAAGGTACATAATAGATTATTCTAGATTACTAGTACATCGCACTTTTTTTTTTTTTTTTTTTTTTGAAACACTAGTATATCTTAACTTACTCGGATCACTTTAAATCAAACACTACTTGTCCAAATTTCTTTTCTTTTGCCCTTATGTTTTTTGCTAATTTCAATTAGCTTGTTGTTGCAAAATAATTTAAATTTTAATACATCGTTTTTTGTAAGTCATTGAATAAATACATAGAAGAGTTTGCTATGTTTCTTTATATATATGATCAACCTAAACATATAAAACATCTACAAAACAAGCAAAATTAAATTAACAAAGGTTTTCACAATAAATAAAAGAAGTGGAACTCACCTATTCAACACGTATTAATAATTAATAGTGCAATATGATCCATTATGATCCCAAAAGTAATAACTTGACGCATAGTTCGAGTCACCCATTTTTTAATGTCAATTAATATTATTAGGAGTGTTATTAAGAAAAGGTGACCCATTCAAAAACATTTTTAGGTAACGTTTCCTTCAAATCTTATCATATTCTTAAATAAATGAAATTGCTTGTCATGTTATGTCAAATCTAATTAGTCTAAATGCATCTTCTTTCGATTAATTAATAACAAACAGAAAAATTCACTAATGCACCTCCTTTTTTGAAGTTGATTGTATGTAAAAGCAACTATATGGCATCAAGACTTGCACTTGTTCGCAATATTTTCTTCCAACATTTCCCGTACTAGTTTGAAAACTATTTCTTGTACATTAATTGTGAAAATGATAAAGCAATAGTAATTAAATGCATGATGCACTATGTGTATGAAAATACTTTAATAGTTTAATTAAATTGTAAAAATCTTAATTAAAAGGGTGTCTAAATAAAGAACCTTGAAAGAGTTTATTTTCACCTAATAACTTTATATTGCTTAATGACGAAAAATACATGCCTTTACCTTATATGATGAAACTCTAGTAACCCAAATTGAATAAATGGTATAGCCCTAAATTGATTAAACGTATTGAAACAATGCATATAGTAATGAAGTTTTGTGTAATTTTGTCACTTTTAGATTTCATAATACTCATTAATTAAGTCTACTTCGTTCATTAGTTAACTAGTCACTCTACATGATATGATGTCCCTAATCCCTATAAAACTTCAACTTACATTTTAAGCTTAAAATCGATTAGTAGGAGATGAATACTTAAATTTAATTTATTGCTATGCCAAGAACAACATTTTTACACTACATACATACCTCTAATAATAAATGTCTTTTTTTTATTAGAAGGTAAGAAAAATTATCATACCTGTTTGAAACTTCCGATTTCTCATAAGATGGATTATTCACTTAAGAGTGGGAGAAAAGATAAGGGATCCCTACCATCAAGACCACAATAATTATTTAATTAACATTATGCTAAACAAATATTAAGAAATTCCAACAACTACACATCAAGTTATTGCATGGTTAAAACTTTGGTGGTATAGTCATTGAGCATAGATCATTAATTAGATTTAATTGAAATGGTTTTCTAATGTAAGATCGTTTTATATAATTATTATTAAAGTATCATGAATTCATAAGCTTATAAATTACGCAACCTTGATATCATAGATTTTTTTTCTTCTCCAATTAAATGCATTTTGTTGATTTAATGGTTACCGCCAATCTTTGGCCAATTGCTCAATAGATTGATCCCAATATATAATTGACCTAACTTAAATCACAAATATAGAATATACCTCGGCCATATAAAACAATAGTGTCCTTTTTCCTTCTTATTTTGATTGTTTAAAGAGCAAAATTCACTTTACATATATATAAATGAAGAAAAAATGTATATACAGAAGTCGTGATTAGGGTTGTGTAGAGAGCGAAAACAAAAGATTGTAAATAAGAAAATTAACCAAAGAATACAAAACAATCTCAAATACACACCTCATCATAAATAGTCTTACAGATTAAACAAAAAGAGACGAAGAGAGTATATTTTTGTGTCTCTGTTGCTGTCTTGCTGTATATAGTTTAGGGTAACACTTAATAAGTCAACGCCTTCAATGTTGTGTTTGGTACCCCGTACCCCCACATAGTGGCACAGGTGTGTGCTAGTCACGTGGCCCACATGTGATCTTCAAGAAATTTGCTTCCACTCTCTTTCCTTTTTAATCAGTGTACCTTAATTGTTGACATCTGTCTTTGATTTAGAGATAAATCTGATTGCCTAATACAAACAAAAAGATTTAATTATTTATCTCTTTAATACAAGTATAATTTAAAATGAAAAGAGCAACTGATAGAAGTGTTAATTCTCTTAATTTCGAAGGCCCGGGACCTTGTTGTCCCTTGCCCTTAATTCAAGGCTTGATTCCCTTAATTTTTGGTTTGTGAAACCGATTCTATGGTTTGGGCTAAAGCTGGCGTAGTGGCCCACAGTCTTACCTACCAAAAGCTCAAGGCTTCGATGGTTCATGTTAGTTACTCAACTCTCGCAGTTATTTTGGTCTAATAATGTTTGCTGTACAAACACCTTGAAAGTGAGGGGAAAGAGTAACGGTCTATTCACATTTACTGAATTGAATTGAAGTGAACTGAACTTATTGAAGCTGAACTAAACTTATTGAAGCTGAACTGAACTTATTGGAGCTGAACTGAGCTGAGTTGCATAAATATTTTATGAGAGAAGCAAATTAAGAGCTGAATTGAACTGGATTGAACTGAACAGATTAGAGCTGAATTGAACTGAACTGAAATTAAGCTGAAGTAATAGGCCCTAAAGTATCCTCAATTTCTCATCCTTCAATGTATTTTTAGTGTAAACCCTTATTTCAAGGTTGAAAGGTGCAATCTTTCCCATTACACCACACTTAACTTGAAGCTCATATTTTATACTATTAGTTCGAACACTTTTTTAATTTCATTTTTTAATTTACCAGCTTCAGATTAATTTGGACACTTTCTAATCAAAATAAATATTACTTTGTATTAAAATTTTAATATCTCTCTTCTTTCATTACTAAAAAGTTACAATAACATTTTTTCTTTACTTCACATGCGCTCGGGTGCGCACACACATACACATATATACAGAACACCGGTATCTTCTATGACATCTAATTGTTTAATAAAATAACGACTTATTATCTCCTATATCCTATCACATCTATTTTTGTTTTTGTTTTTTTTTTTATCAAATGACAGTTATTAACATTTTACGATTTTCAACAGCTTATTACTCATTTTGTCCCTTAATTAGTGGCTTATTTGTTTTATTGTTTTCACGGGAATTAAAAAAGTTGTAGAATCCTTAAAATAAATAATTGAGAGTAAAAATATGCATGTGAGTTTAGATAGAGACAGAGAGGAAAAAAAAGGTAGTTGGTAATTGTTGAATAGAGGGACAGAGAAAGTGTTGAAAAATAATGTCAAAAGTACATAAAAAAAATGATGACAACTGATCAAAAAGAGTGTAACTTTGTTAAAAAAGTACACTCTTTAAATAGAAACAGGCCACTAATTTTGGTTACCTAAAGATAGAATACAGGCTACTAAATAAGGGGAGAAGGAAGTACCTAAAACTCTATGTCTAAAGAAGTGTATTGTTCAATTATTTATTTATTTGTTCATTTTTTTTTGAAAGGAAGAGCAACTTAATCATTCTTAGACCACTCTCATTCATGGACAAATAAAAAAAATGACATTATCTCTCTGCCCACTTTCTCACTCCTCTTTTCCACTTTTTTTCATGGGCATTTTTTTTTAAAACTTCTCACACATTCATGGGCTAATAAAAAAACCCACACCATCTCTCCTAAAATATTACTATCATTACATTATTTTTAATATGTGTAGCTTTTTTTTTTGCTGATTTGGTACCATGGCCCCACTACTGTAGCAATGAATTTTTGCCATTGTTATGGGCATTTGAGGATTTCCTCATGGGCATTTTTTCTAATGCTCATGAGTGGGAAGCCAAAATTTCATTTTTTTTCATTAAATTCTCCTCATGGGCAAAAAAATGCCCATGAGTGAGAGTGCTCTTAAAGAGGGTCCATGGATACATAAGGGGCAATTTAAGAAGGGATAAAATTTTCCCAAATTTGCTCAAGAAGAATTTTACTAAGTTGTGTGAGCTAGTACATTCCCATCTCTGATCAGATATCGCATCATGAAGAATAGTGTTCAAGTTATTTGTACAAATTGTATTTTTAAAGGCTATAAATGATGAATCTTGCTTAACAATTGAGATGATGTGCAAAACCAAGTGTTTTGTGTTTTAGCCATACACTTATAAATCAAGGCCAATTTCATTTGCGGGTTCATGGTTTTAAATCTGAGGTGTCAAATTAAAAGTATCAGTCAATCAATATATTTATTAAAAGGGATTTTTTTTTTTTTTTTTTTTTTTTTTTTTTTTTTTTTTTAGTGAGGGCACAACATTTCCAAACCCTCAATTTACAATAAATCTCCCATAAAGGGCAAGCAAAACAAATCTGAATTCATTGACTGAAAGAATATATGGAATATTTTCCTTGACTGATTTCATTAATCAAGCCCGGTTATATACAATTTACAAACCTAACAATAGGCATAACTATAGGCATATATTTAGGAACTAAATATATCCTTTGACTATAGAGAATAATATACAAAATATATAAATATTTAACACACCCCCGCAGTCGAAACGGTAGGCTTACGAACGCAGAGACTGTCCCTAAAATCCTCAAATAATACAAGGGGAAGCCCTTTAGTGAAGATGTCCGCAATTTGATGACGGGAAGGAACATGATGCACACGAACTTCACCACGTGCAACCTTCTCCCGAACAAAATGGATATCCATCTCTATATGTTTTGTACGCTGATGTTGCACTGGATTACCCGATAAATAAACCGCACTGACATTGTCACAATAAACAAGAGTAGCCTTTTAAATCGGACAATGTAACTCTAGTAACAAATTCCGGAGCCAGCAAGACTCGGAGACAACATTAGCAACCCCACGGTACTCCGCCTCGGCACTCGACTTAGACAATGTGGGTTGCCGTTTGGATGACCAAGATATCAAATTATCACCTAAGAATACACAATAACCCGAGGTCGATCGACGAGTATCCGGACATCCACCCCAATCTGCATCAGTATAGGAGACTAGAGAGGAAAAAGAGGACGGATACAAATAAAGGTCGTACTCCAAAGTACCCCGAATGTATCAAATAATACGCTTCAGAGCCGAAAAATGATCCACCCTGGGATCATGCATATGTAGACAAACCTGTTGTACAACATAACAAATATCCGGTCGAGTAAAAGTGAGGTATTGGAGTGCCCCTGCAAGACTCCAATAGCGAGTAGGATCATCAAATTTAGTGCCAGAAGTAGCACTAACCTTTGATTTTGTATCAACCGGAGTAGAAGAAGGTTTACAAGTAGACATCCCTGCTCGTTCAATAATCTCCTCGGCATATTTTCTCTGAGAAAGAAACATACCTGTCTCCGTACGAGTCACATCAATACCCAAAAAATAATTTAAAGGACCAAGATCCTTCATAGCAAACTCTGAGCTAAGCATAGCCATAATAGAACACCAGAGAGCATCAGAAGAAGCAGTAAGTATGATGTCATCAACTTAAAGTAAAATGTATGCCATGTCAGACCCCTTACGATAAATAAACAATGAATTATCCATTGTGCTGTTAGTAAATCCAATAGATAAAACATAATCAGCAAAACGCTTATACCAAGCCTTGGGAGCCTGCTTAAGCCCATATAAAGACTTACGTAAGAGACACACATAATCTGGATGATCACGATCCCTGTAACCCAAGGGTTGATGCATATACACAGTTTCCGGCAGCTCACCATGAAGAAAGACATTTTTGACGTCCAATTGATGAATTGGCTGATGAATTGGCCATGCCTTTGATAAAGACAAGCTAAGAACAGTGCGAATTGTAGCCGGCTTCACCACTGGGCTAAAAGTCTCACCACAATCAATGCAACCTGCTGAGTTTTCCCATCACCTACAAGGCGGGTTTATGCCGCTCAAAATCACCATTAGACTTAACCTTGTGAGTAAAAATCCACATAGACCGTATCACGGAGGACGAGGCACCAACTCCCATGTCTTATTTTTAATAAGAGCACTATATTCATCATCCATGGCCATTTTCCAATTTGGGTCACCCAAAGCCGCAATTGGAGTACGAGGAAGAGGAGACTTGCGGACCTTTGGGCTTAAATATGCCATGCTGGCTACGGGTCACCATAGTTGGCTGCTGGGAATGTGTTTGGGCCGTGGGTGGATTTGGGTCAGTGGGAGGAGTAGGTGATGAGGAAGTGGGTTGAGATTGAGGAGAGGGAGGATTAGTAGGCTGTGGGCCAGGAGAACACGGATCAACCAGTTGGACTAGTGACCGTGCTGGGCTCGGGGAGAGAGGAACATGAGAGTTGGGCTCGGTCTGCGGACTGGGTCGTGGGGAGAGAGGCGCATTTGTGGGCTGATCAACATCAAGATGTGGTTGTTTGGGTTCATCAGAGTGATGCAAATGATGAATTAATAATGGGAATAATCCATCATCAAGGAAATCATAGGTATGAGTCTGTGGTGTTTGAAATTTTGCAAAAGGAAACACACTCTCATCGAATACTACATGACGACAAATGATAATTTTACGCGTGGACAAGTCATAACATTTATAGCCACGATGATTGGTTGGGTATCCCAAAAACACACAAGGAGTAGATCTCAGTTCCAACTTATGAATAGTAGTGGAAGGAAATAAGGGATAACACAAACACCCAAACACCCTAAGATGAGAATAAGAAGGTTTCCGTTGATATAAAACTTCTAGAGGAGACTTTTTACCAAATAATTTACTCGGAAGAATATTAAGGAGATATGTTGCCATTTGGAGAGCATGATGCCAAAAAGAAAGGGGAAGTGAGGCATGAGCTAGAAGAGTCCTAGTCATATTATTAATAGACCGAATTTTCCTTTCGGCCTTCCCATTTTGAGAAGAAGTATGAGGGCAAGAGAGATGGAAAGACAAACCATGAGTTTTACAAAAATCCTAAAACGGACCATTATCAAATTCCTTAACATTGTCACATTGGATAGTTTTGATGTTTCGTTTGAATTGGGTTAAAATATGAGCCTTAAAAATCAAGAATTTGTCATATACGTCCGATTTGCGGGTTAAGGGAAAAGTCCATAAATAATTCGAGAAATCATCCAAAATTAACATATAATATTTATGGCCATTAGAACTCAAAACAGAAGATGTCCAAAGATCACTATGCAAAATATCAAATGGCATCATAGTATGAGAAATAGAGGAAACAAATGGCAATTTAATATGTTTTTCGAGGACACAAGAACCACAAAGGCTAGAACTAGAAAGTTTAGTACAATCAATGCATTTATTATGCCTAAGCACATCTAAAACAAGAGTTTCCGGATGACCCAGTCGATCATGCCAAAGCTTAGGAGAAATAACAGCAAAGGTAGAAGGAGATGCTTGATTGTTGAAGGAGGAGGTAATAGGATATAGGTCGCCCCGACTCTCACACCTCATGATTGGCTTCCCCGTTCGAAAATCCTTCACAGAAAACCCAAAAGGACAAACTCAACTGACACAGAATTATCGGAAGTAAACTTTCTAACAGAGATGAGATTCTTAATGAGTTTAGGAGCATGTAGGACATTTTTAAGGGAGAGGGGTGGATTTGGAGATGGTAGATTAGTGTGACCATAGCCATGAATCGAGATAGTTTGACCACTACCAACAACAATGCTATTCCTAGGATGGTTGCTCAAATTAAAATAAGAAGAGAAATTACCGGATGAAGAAGTCATATGAGATGTCGCACCGGTGTCCATGTACCAAGCCGGGTCGGGTTGTTTGAGAGTCATGGTGTGCATGGCAGCTTCAATGTCTGTTGGAGTGTACGGGGGCTGCCCGTGAGTAGTGCCTGCGGAATAGGCTTGCTGAGAATGTTGTTGCGGCCTTGGACCCAAAATAAAGTTGGTCCGATTCTGTTGAGATGATGGTCTGGCCCATCCTTGTGTTGGGTAAGGACAAGGAGGGATGGGCCAGCCATTCCACCCCCATGGATACGGCCCAGCAGGCTGCTGCCAATATGAAGGAAGAGTGCCTGACTGTTGTTGTTGCTGTCCGGGATTACGGCCACCACTGGTCTGCTGACGGCCACCCTTGCCGCTGGAACCACCGGTGTTGCGCCGGCCACCGCTGTTGCCGGAGTTCTGCCGGCGGCCGGAGCTCTTCCCCTTATTTTTCCCACCCGAATTATTGTTAGAAAAATTCGGGCTATCATCAGTAGAGGAAGCCAACAACACAGAATCAGGGGTCGTCTCCTTAGCTAACCCAGCCTCTTCGAGAGTGAGCATAGACCGGGCCTTGTAAAACGGAGGAAGGGGATCGCTTTGACGGATAAGCATACCCACACTACTGTATTTTTTCGAAAGACCACTCACCAGACGCAAAACCATTCGGCTATCCGAAACCGGAGCCCCAACATTTTTAAGTTGATCCGCAAGGGATTTGATACGCTGACAATATTCAGAGACACTAGGATAATCCTCCATGGTCGTAGTTGAGAATTCTTGTTCAAGGGCAACGGCACGAGAATTTTGATTGTCTTGAAATATATCACGCAATCGATTCCAAGCATCCATAGCCGTAGAGTCGGGCTCAATAATGGTCTGCAGCAAGTCATTCAAAATTGTGGAATAGATCCACGAGAGGACTATGGCATCCAAAGTAGACCATAATTCCTTCTCTTCGTCGGTTGAAGGAACCTTTTCCTTACCCTTGGCAGGGGGGATGATATGGTCAAGGACCCTATGAGATCGTGCGTGAATTTTGAACAATTCCGCCCACGTAGAATATTGGACATTGGCCATTTCAAGGGTAATGGGTATGTTAGCCTTGATATTAGGCACAACAAGAGCAGGATGAACAGAAGATTTTGTTTCCACTATGGTAGAAAACAGAGAAAGAAAGCAGAGGAGAAGAAAGAAAGAAGAAGATAGAGTGGGCGAAAGAGATGACGAAGCTAGGGCAGCGGAAGAAAACCCTAATCAATCTGATACCATGAAAGAATATATGGAATATTTTCCTTGACTGATTTCATTAATCAAGCCCGGTTATATACAATTTACAAACCTAACAATAGACATAACTATAGGCATATATTTAGGAACTAAATATATCCTTTGACTATAGAGAATAATATACAAATTATATACATATTTAAAATTGACAAATATAACACAAAAGTTAAGCTAAAATATACCTTGAAAAATAAGAAAAATCACTACAATTAACCTAATGCGATTGGCAAATTTTCAAAATAATTTAGAATTAAATCTTATTGGAACCTATTATCTCTTTTTAAAATCAACCTCTTATTATGAGACATCACCAATCAATCAACCTTAATCATTATGCATGTCAGGTTACCCAAGCCACTAACATTACTCCATATAAAAACACCAGGATAAGGAGATCAAATTTGAACACCCAACCTCTTATACAAGTAAGCTAAGAAGGATGGTGTTTATTTAACCATTTAAGCTAATTATCAATAAAGTTATAAACATGAAAATAAATGTATATAATTGCAAATAAAAAAATCTAATTAAAAAAGAAAAAAATAGACATCATAAATATCAGATACATATATATAAACTCAAGGAATAATTAAATTAGCAACTCGGTACAATGTCCGGGCTACACACTAGTCAGAATATAAAAAAGGTTGTGAGAGTGGCGGGGGATAACTCAAGTGGTTAAAGTTTATCTCCCGCTACTCCATAATAAACTAGAATCAAATTGAATTTTAACTATAAAAAATGGAGGAAGTATTATATTTTCTTAAACTTGGGCCTGTTCTGATACGATTATTTTCAGTTCAATTGTGTTCAATTCAGTTCTAACAAGTTCAGTTCGATCACTTCAGTTCAGTTCAGCTCAGTTCAGTTCAGTTCAGCTCTAATAAGTTCAGTTCAGTTCAGTTCAGCTCCTAATTTCCTTCTCTTATAAAATATTTTGTTAAGTTCAGTTCAGTTCAATTCAGCTCTAATAAGTTCAGTTCAGTTCAATTCAGTCAATGAGAACATGCCCTTAGTTTTCCCCTTCCCTTTCCATGATTGCCTTCATTGTGCTAAAAAATTAACCGTAACCATTATTTTTTCATGAAAAGAGCATTTAGATAAATACTCCCAAGAGTATTTAGATAAATACTCCCTTCATGTATGTATTTTCTTGAGTTCAAACGGTATTAAAATATTACGTTATATTTCGTATTATACAAAGGAAGAAGGTTGTACTTCGTAGTTAATACGTACCAATATTTTCTACAAGACCTAACCAAAGGCTTATTAAACGTTTTACAAGTGGATGTTGCTTTGAGGCTAACAAATGGGGCCAAAAAGTTGATTAGTTGTCTTGGCCTCTCAAATATATTTCGTGACACAATAATGTGTCCTATCTCCTATGCAATTCATTTAACAACTTTGACAATAATAATAATCACTGAAATATTCAGTTGATAAGTCAAAATTTCCAAGGTATTCTTTACCTCGCATTTCTATTTTCTTTTTTATTTTATTTTTTTCCAAAAAAGAACAATTTTTTTTAGTGCATTACAACTTAGTGATTCTATATACCTAGTGCATATTACTTCTTGAACCAATAATTGACCGTATTCTTGACCTGTGAATTCATTCGATCAAGAGAATTTTTTATGTAATAACTTTATATAACTACAAGTTCACCCACTAAAAACTTATGTGTTTTAAAAAGACTAAGGATACATGAAACATCAATAATGTTTAAGTGTCCTTAGCTTGTAATTAAAGTTGTAATAAGTGCCAATCTCATCTACAATGATCATAATTTATATTGCATAGTACGTAGAAGTTGTATGACTTACAGTTTATGAATTTAATCTACTTATAAAAATGCTCCGTACTTCTATTAGCTAATTTTTTCCTTACGAAAAGATTTTCATGTTCATACTTAGGGTATGTTCATATATATTTATTTAATTTCAGTTCATTTCAGCTCCAATCAGTTCAGTTCAGTTCAGTTCAATTTAGTTCCAATCAGTTTAGCTCAATTCAGTTCCTAATTTCCCTCTCTCATAAAATATTCATTTCATCTCAGTTCAGTTCAGTTAAACTCCAATCAGTTCAGTTCAATTCAGTTCAGTAAATGTAAACAAACCCTTAGCCTCACATTAAAAGAAAATACAAAGCTTATTAAAATCATTAATTGATGAAAAGTTGGATAGGTATGTAATAATTGTTGCGATGTATAAGTCAATAGTTTGATAAGCTAGCTAATGGGGAAACACTAGTTATACATATTTTGGTGACCATTATTAAGTAATGATAAAGACAATGTAATGACCACACGTATTAAATTTGATATACATTTAATTATATGATGTAGATCATTTTTTTTTGTTTTAATATAATAACGTATATATGTGGTATCAAAACTTTCTCTCGTTTTAAATCATTCATAATCAATATCACTTAATGCTTGACATCAATGAGCTAGGGTCTAGGATCTTTTAGCTGAATACTAGAACATTCCGATCCTTTGCTTAATCTGAAATGATTAAACTAATTCGTATATTTTTAGAAAGGTTTAATCATAATTAGCATGGTTATTAGTTGCTTAATCTGGAGAGTGAAGATGATGCATTAAGCCCTAATCAAAGGTCAAGGTGAGTCAACCTCAACGATAATCAAAGTAGAGAGACTCATCTTGTGCAATAAGCCAATAATAGAGTTAAATGAATCAATCAAGATCAATAAAAGAGGAAAGAAATCAAAGAAAATATCAAAATATCCTATCCAAGATCTCAAATAATCAAGATATCATACAACTTGGATAATATCATAATAATCTAGTTTAAAATTTTCTTTTTTAAACCATGACATGTATCGCTATTTTCATTCGTTTGCATGCTTTTTTTGAGCGAAATTTGTCTAAACAAAGAGAAAAAATTAATAATGATGTATTAGATTTAATTTAATGTAATCTCAAATCTTAGGTATCACTATCCGGGCCAAACAATTCAAGATATTTAGATTTACATTCACTCATAGTCGGTATTTCCTAATCTAATGCAGTACAAGAGTTTCAAAATGTAATACTAGGCCACGTAATAGACTAGTATCTTCTATTTTGAGGATGTCTCATGCATCTCATGACATGGAAAACGTAACCCTATTACACAATAAATGTTACTCTACTATCCACAAATTTATCCATCATGAAGTTTCTTTCTAATTTTTCATACACCCATCTCACATAAGAATTACCCTTAATCAGAATGTGATGTTCATTTATGTTTCACGTAGGACAACGTGCACCATATATTAAATCCAACTTCCATGTCATACACAGATATGGACCACCGGACGAAATCTGTCAAAAGATCGATACACCAAAATTCTTGTATATGATGTGAATATGAATGTACTTTGAGGAAGATGTTGGCTACTGGAATAAGGCATATATATGAACAGGCAAACTGTGTTACACAACAAAAACACAAATCATATAAGGACACCTAAGAAAAAAACTATAAATACACTCATTTTGATTGATCAAAAAAATCAAACTCATATAATTTTTTTTTTTTTTTTTTTTATATTATCTTGTTAAGATGATTGATTTTTTTTTTTTTAGAAATAGTATAACATACAGCCAAAAACACCCTTTAATGTTTCCTGCCCCTTTAGAATTAATTATTACTACTATATTAAATATAAAGTGTGAACGTGGAAGATATTACATGGACTCTTGCTCAAAGAATGACAAGAGAACATGTATCTTAACAAAAATTAATTGTATATAAAAATATAGGCATGTCTATTTCATCGACCACCCAATAAATATAGATTTATACACCAAATTATAATAATTTTAAAAATTATAATTCAAATAATTGGTTGCATACATTTGATGTTATCTAAATTGGGAAGATTAGGAATAATTGAAAAAGACTACAAAAATTACTTTAACTGTGAAAGATAAATTGTGTTAAGAAGTATCTTAAGCTTTGGTATGCTATTTTCATTTTGTTGTCTTTAATTTCGGTGGGGATTTTTGAAGAGCAGGTAGTTAATGAAAAACAACCCTTTTAAAGCATGTTCGATGGCTAATACTTGGTTATTCAAATAAATTTGCTGTTTTTTTTTTTAATTGTAAGGACGATGTTATGTAGTTTTATTTGTAATATTTGTACCATACAAGCTAGTAAGACTTTTTTGAGTAGTTTACTAAGTGTATTTCATAGTAATTTTTAAATTATGTCTATCAATTAAACTTGAGGTACATACTAACAAACCTATTTGAAAACATGAACTCGTAACTCTTGGTCACTTCAGCAATGCATCTAGATGTTCATTTACATTTGTATGCATCTTTGAAATTCCACATGTCCCTTATTCTCTCTCATTTTATTTTAATTTTATTTATATTTTTGCTTCTTGATATACTATTTTCACCAATCAAGGAGCTGAGATTGATGGGCCATCTCTTGATTGGCTTAGGCAAGCAACTTAGAAGTCTAGACCAATTCAATTTAATTATAAAAGTGAATGCAACAAAGGATCATAATTCATTCACAAGGCAAGGAAATAATTATTATTGCATCTTTCTTAACTTACACTACCACCGGCAATATAAGACTTATACGGTTATAGCATATTCCCTTCATTTAATTTTTGATGAATTAAAATTATTTTTAATGAACTAAAGTTATTTTTCTCAAATTTTAATTATTTATCTAAATTAAAATTAAATTTATCGATTTTAACTGAACTAAAATTATATTTACTAAACTGAAATTAATTTTACTGAACTGAAATTATTTTTACTA